AAAACCAGTGATACTCTAGCAGATAGTTAATCCTTTATAAAGATAAATCCTGTCAATTGATATATATAATGTTTGTTTTGGCATGCTATTTGTGATTCTTCAATGGTAAAATCACTGAAGTCATATTTTCTTTGGTCTATGTTATAGCTGTTAGAATTTATCCAACCTGTTTATCATTTTCTATTTAATGGTTCCACAATTTCCTTTTATATTCTGCTTAGAGTAGCTTCTTTTCATATAACCCTGAATTAATAGTAATCTCAGGAAGAGGAACCAATATAAAAACTGGGATGTATATTTCTTTTTATTTTTTTTAATTAAATTATTATCTGTGTACATATTTTAACATTGCTCCGCCCTCCCATATATACCCTCCCTTCCCAGAGTTTTGTGTCTATTGGTTGTACTTATATGCATGTATACAAGTCCTTCGGTTGATCTCTTATCTCCCCCAGATCTCCCTCCCCTCCCCGCTGTAATTTGAGTCTTCTTGTTGCTTTACTGTCTTTATATCTATCTTTTGGTTCATCAGTTTATAATGTTCTTTATTATCCATAAATGAGTGAGGTCATGTGGTATTTCTCTTTCATTGACTGGCTTATTTCACTCAGCATGATATTCTCCAATTCTATCCAGGTTGCTGCAAATGATGAGAATTCCTTCTTTTTTATGGCAGCAAAGTATTCCATTGTGTAGATGTACCATAGTTTTTGGATCCAGGCATCTAGAGATGGGTACCTAGGCTATCTCCAAATCCTAGCTATTGTAGATTGTGCTGCTATGAAAATAGGGGTGGATATATCCTTTCTGATTGGTGTTTCTAGTTTCTTGGGATATATTCCTAGGAGTGGGATTACTGGGTCAAATGGGAGTTCCATTTTCAGTTTTTTGAGGAAACTCCACACTGTTTTCCACAGTGGTTGCACCAGTCTGCATTCCCACCAGCAGTGCAGGAGGGTTCCTTTTTCTTCGCAACCTCACCAACACTTGTCGTTTGTTGATTTGTTGATGTTGGCTATTCTGACAGGTGTGAGATGGTACCGCATTGTTGTTTTGATTTGCATCTCTCGGATAATTAGTGACTTTGAGCATGTTTTCATGTGCCTCTTGGCCTTCCTTCTGTCTTCTTTTGAAAATATTCTATTTAAGTCCATTGCCCATTTTTTAATTGGATCATTCATTTTCCTTTTATTTAATTGTATAAGCTGTCTATAGATGTTGGAGATTAAATCTTTATCAGTGATAACATTTGCAAATATGTTCTCCCATACAGTGGGCTTTCTTGTTGTTTTGTTGATGGTTTCTTTTGCTGTAAAAAAGCTTTTTATTTTGATATAGTCCCATTTGTTTATTTTCTCTTTAGCTTCCATTGCCCTAGGGGCAGTATCAGTGAAGAAGTTCTTTTGGCATATGTCTGAGATTTTGCTGCCTGTGGATGCCTCTAGTATTTTTATGGTTTCCGTCTTATGTTTAAGTCCTGTATCCATTTTGAGTTTATTTTTGTTTATGGTGTAAGTTGGTGATTTAGTTTCATTCTTTTGCATGTATCTGTCCAATTTTCCCAACACCATTTATTGAAGAGACTGTCTTGACTCCATTGTATATTCGTGCCTCCTTTGTCAAATATTAATTGAGCATAGTGATTTGGGTTGATATATGGGTTCTCAATTCTATTCCATTGATCTATATGTCTGTTCCTGTGCCAGTACCAGGCTGTTTTGAGAACAGTGGCTTTGTAATACAGCTTGAAGTCTGGTATTGAGATCCCTCCTACTTTACTCTTCTTTCTCAGGATTGCTGTGGCTATTCGGGGTCTTTAATGTTCCAAATGAACTTTTGGAGAGTTCTTTCTATGTCAGTGAAATATGCTGTTGGTATTTTAATGGGGAGTGCATTGAACCTATAGATTGCTTTAGGAAGTATGGACATTTTGATGATGTTGATTCTACCAATCCATGAACATGGTATGTTTTTCCATCTGTTTACATCTTTTTTCAGTGTCGTGTAGTTTTCTGCGTATAGGTCTTTTACTTCCTTAGTTAAGTTTATTCCTAGGTATCTTAATTTTTTTGGTGCAATGGTAAATGGAATTGCTTTTTTAGTCTCTGTTTCTGTAAGTTCACTGTTGGTGTATAGAAATGCCATAGATTTCTTGGCGTTAATTTTGTATCCTGCTACATTGCCAAATTAATTTATTAAGTCAATTAGTTTTTTAATGGAGTCTTTTGGTTTTTTTTATATACAATATCATGTCATCTGCAAATAAGGATAATTTTACTTCTTTTCCAATTTGGATGCCTTTTATTTCCTCTAATTGCAATGGCTAGTACTTCCAGTACTATGTCAAACAGGAGTGGTGAGAGTGGGCATCCCTGTCTTGTTCCTATTCTTAGAGGGAATGGTTTTAGTTTTTGCCCATTGAGTATGATGTTGGCTGTGGGTTGATCATATATAGCTTTTATTATGTTGAGGTATGATCCTTGTACTCCTATCTTATTGAGAGTTTTTATCAGGAAAGGGTGTTGGATTTTATCAAATGCTTTTTCTACATCAATTGATATAACTATATGATTTTTATCTTTCAATTTGTTTATGTGATGTATCACGTTTATTGATTAGCGGATATTGTACCATCCTTGCATTCCTGGAATAAATCCTACTTGGTCATGGTGTATGATCTTTGTGATGTTCTGCTGGAGCCGATTTGCTAGAATTTTGTTGAGAATTTTGGCATCTATGTTCATGTGGGATATTGGCCTGTAATTCTCTTTCATTGAGTTGTCTTTATCTGGTTTTGGTATTAGGGTGATACTGGCTTCATAGGAGGAGTTTGGAAGTGTTCCTTCCTCTTGAATTTTTTGGAATAGTCTGAGGATAGGTTTTAGTTCTTCCTTGAATGTTTGGTAAAACTCTCCTGTGAAGCCATCTGGCCCTGGGCTTTTGTTTTCTGGAAGCTTTTTGATGACTGTTTCAATTTCTTCCCAAGTCACTGTTCTATTGAGATTTTTCGATTCTTCGGGATGTATATTTCAAATGGCAAAATTAGTACTATCTAAAGTATTCTTTAGGGTTTAGAAATAGCCAAGGGTTGAAGATGTCTCAGTGCTATTGCCAGAGAAAATATATTTGCTCAAAATACTTTTAAAAATTCTTTGCCCATCTATGAAATACTTTAAAATAAATATCTTTGTTTTTTGTTCTTATCAGAGCTATTTGAATACTGGAACATTGTGGGGAGTGAAGGGTAAGTAAAGGTAAAATTTGCCTATAATTTATTGTTGGTAATTGGAGAGGGTTTGGGGTCAGAGAAGTGGTTCTTTTAAAAGATCTCCTCAGGTTAAATAACTTCTAACATTGACCATTTTGGATTTGAAAAATTATATTTTGCTTTGTGTGTACTGTAATAAGCTTGAAAACTCAATACAGTATATGAATATTATTTCAAAGAACATTTCTTTTTTAATATATTTTTTATTGATTTCAGAGAAGGGAGAGGGAGAGAAACATCAATGATGAGAATCATTGATTAGCTGCCTCTTGCATGTCCCCTACTGGGGATCAAGCACAAAACCCAGGTATGTGCCCTTGAATGGAATCGAATCCGGGACCCTTCAGTCCACAGGCCAACACTCTAAACACTGAGCCAAACCAGCTAGGGCCAAAGTACATTTCATTTGTTCTTTTTTTCCTTTTGTTCTACCTTAATTGCACAAGTATTAACTAGTAATAGCTTTAAATTTCCAACTAACATAAATATACATTTTTAAATGTTTTCTACTCTTTTGTTGTGAATGGTTTTGTTCCTTGGGAATATAAGGATCTTGCTCATTATAACAAAGTATGTGAGGTTGTTGTATTTTTCTTTTAAAGAACTATGGATATAACTAAGTAGAGCTGTGTGTAATAATTTACCAGAAAAATCTAATGCCTAAGTCTAGGTCAGTATATTTGGGTGTAAGTTACACTACTAGCATTTCAAATAGTGGCAATTCTCTTAATTCATTGTGGAAATTCCTAAAAAATATATTGATATTTAAAGAGGCAAATAAGATCAATGTAGGATATCAAAAGCCAATGTTATGACATCTAGTTTTTCTGAGCTTTCTATCATTTATCTTGTTCTAATTACTTCCATGTTGGGGTATTTTTGGGGTTAACATGAAGGTCATTATAAAAATTAATCACTATTCCATTATGTGGTGTCATATATGCACTGCAATCCAAGAGCAAGGAATGGAAGCACTCATTGCTGATACAGGCAATAAGGGAGCAGTGTTTGTAGAGATTTTAAAAACACTAAAAGTTAAGAAAAGTAATTTGCTTTTTATTTTCAGGATCAAGGTAAACAATGACAGTGATAAAATATTCCTTCCCGTTGGGCAGTCTTCCACTACCCCAACCTTTGAACACTTTTGCCCATATGAGCTCTAAAATACAACATACCCAATGCATTGAAGGAAGATCTTATTTCCACCTTTATTTTCAATTTTGAAAATATAAATGTAGAAGAATGTGTTATCAGTACTAGCGCAAGCAACCTACAGTCTGTAATAACTTATTTCGTAAAAAAATTTATTGATTTGAGACAGAAAATGGGAAGGGGAAGAAACATTGACTTGTTGTTCCACTTATTTATGCATCCATTTGCTGCTGCTCCTATGTTCTTTGACCATGGATCAAACCCACAACCTTGGCATATTACACTCTAACCAACTGAGCTAACTGGTCAGACGTGTAATAACTTTAAATGTAAAATATACATAAGGGCCCGGCCAGTGTGACTCAGTGGTTGAGCACTCACTTATGAACCAGGAGATCATGATTTGATTCCCAGTCAGGATTCATGCCAGGGTTGTGGGTTTGATTCCCAGAAGGGAACAGGTAGGAGGCAGCTGATCAATGGATTCTCTTTCATCATTGAAGTTTCTCTCTCCCTCTTTCTTCCTCTCTGAAATCAATAAAAATATCTTAAAAGTAAAATATACATAATGCATATTGTTAAAATTCCAGTGAAGTTAAGAATTGTGGACATGAGCTTACAGATATTATAGACATTGAACATTCAGATATGGATACTCCAGTGATTTAAAGTCACAAGTATGTGCCTAGGAAAATGTCTGAAAGAGCAAAATATGTCACACTTGCATTTAATGCATAAGAATTTGTGTGGACTATAGAACCACTGAGGATTTGACTCCTGGACATTTCATTCTAATACTTAGCATAAGACCTGTGTGTGTGTGTGTGTTTCATATAAGACACACATTGTTGAATAAGGATTTATCACTTTATTGACCTGGACAAAAAAGCCAATTGGCTAGTGAAAATTAAGTCCACTTAGTGAAGTCCGTGTGTATTTTAGCTGACACATTGGACCCTGAGTTCCTAAAGATAACAAGAACCATGGGACCAAAAAAGAAAAAGAAAAAAATTAGCAAAAGAAAAACTAAAGCACAAAAGCATCTTTATTGATGTTGTTATGGCCATAGCTACCTATACCTACAGAATTCCCCAACACTGTTACCTATAACACTCGACATAGGAAAGGAACTAGTATTTTTTGGATGTAGACATGTCTTCTTTCAAAGGCTCTGGTATGAGTGGGGGTGGGGGACCCAAAATGAACAAAAATAAGAAAACCATAAACATTTTATATACATGCAAAAAGGCAAACACAATGACAAAATGTTTAGACTAAAGAAATCATGTGAAATACAAAGTAAAACTATTAGTACTGTATGTAAAAAACAATTTTACTTGCCTTGAGCAGATGCGTTAGTTTTTCTTTGTGAGGGCACTAACTAAACTAAAATGACAAGAGTTTCACTTCAGAATATATTATTCAGGATATTATTTATATGTGTATGTATATAGCATATAAAGGATATATGTTTAACTGGAGGAAGGAAAAACCTGTACCTCGGATATTTAGAAGTCAGTTCACATTTGCAATATCAAATCTAATCACTGTTGGTTGGATAAATCTTTTGAGTTGGCTTTCAGAAAATGTATTTATATTGCCACAGATAAAACAAATATGTGTCAATTTCTTGGGCAAGCAGGATTCCAGTATCATTCTTACATGATTTCTAAATTATTTAAAATTGGGACCTTCATTAATAAATATATATTTATCCTATATAATAAAAGTCTAATATATAAATTGTCCCCTTGACTGGGATTCAACTGGGAGTTCAACCAGGAGTTTGACCAGGGGATGGGGCTAGCCAGCCAACTGCTGACAGCCCCTCCCCCTGGCTGGCCTGGACTGTTCGACCACAATCAAGGCAGGCCAACCAGATCCCACCTGTGCACAAATTTGTGCACTGAGCCTCTAGTTAATATATAATTGCTATGCTTTGTTAAGGCACTGGCTTTTGCCATTATCAATCTATATATACATTACATAGGATACACATTAAATATATGTCATATAAAACAAAGACAAAAGGAGGCTCAAAACCAGAATCTGCCTTCAAATAGTCTGTTAAAAACAAAATTTCCAAGATAGTTTATAAATTAATTGTTTGAAGCAGTTTCTCATTGGGCCAGTGTTATTAACTGTAGTTCATTTCCCAGTTAAGTCCACAGAAGTTTATTTAACCCATAATTTAAGTGAATTTTAGTACCATGCTTAAGAGATATATAAATTATTCACCAATTTAGAAGTTTATATTGGTTTGGTTTCCTTTTCCTATAGTTGTGGGACCATGGAACCCTACTACCTAGTGGCTAGAAACTTAAAAAAAAGAAACCGTAAGTCTTTGAGCACTGGTAATAGTTTGGGTCTTAGGTAAGGTGGTCAGGCTCAGTAGCAACAGAGAAAGGGGCAAAAGAAAAAAATAGTAGCAGCATCAGATAAGAAAAAATCAAGTCAGCAAGGAAGTGAGTGGCTCACTGAGTAGGCATCTATAAGGGTGTTTTTGCTACCATCCCACCAGACATGAATTAATTTGACCAACAACTTCAAGTGAGACTTTGAAAAAGTAATAAAAATCACAATATAAGTTTTAAAAAAAATCTCTCTGGTCATTATAAAGGAATATTTTCTATGATTGAAAAATATAGTGCAAAAGTAAAAACTGTATTATGTTGGGCAAATCACTATTTAGTTATTAATCCCAAATTATGTTGTTATATAATAAGGTTTAGACAAAAACTATTGAAAATTTTTCATTTACTTACTTACAGCCCAAATGTAGTCTGGCCTGTCTGGGTGCAAAGCCTGACTAAACAGGTTATAGAGAAAATTCTCAGATGAAGTGCATCATATTATTAAAGATCCTCTGGCTCGACGTCAAGCTTTATAGGTGTATTAGAGGCCTGGTGCACAGATTCCTGCACATGTGGGTCTCCCAGCCTGGCAATCTGGGACCCCTCAGGGAATGTTGGACTGCCAGTTTCGGCCCGATAACCTGGCCTGCGGGGATGGGACAGAAATCGCCAGTCCAACAACCCCTGAGGATGTAGTGGAGTGCAAAGCGGCAGGCAGCCGGGGAGGCGTCCAAGCCCAGGCCGGCACCACGCCACTTCTGCTTATCCAAGCCCCACTGAACCTGCCACCGCTGGGAAGCACTGTAGCGGAGGCAGAAGAGTCTTGTGCCGCCATAGCTGTGCTTGCCAATCACGAGCCGGGCATCTGGCTCATGTCAGTCAGCTGTGGGAATGCAGTGACCACCAGGGGGCAGTTCCTGCATTGAGCATCTGCCCCTTGGTGATCAATGTGTGTCATAGCGACTGGTCAAACAGTCTACCGGCCACTTAGGGTTTTATACATATAGATTCCATGTGACCAGATATATTTTCCTTGAAATGTTAGAATGCTTTAGTGTTATTCTATTATTGCTTCCCTGTTCCATAGAACTGCACTCATTTCTCCCATTTTTAGTAGCATAAAGAGAAAGATGTCGAATAGATAGGGCAGAAAAGAAATGAAAACTTACATTCTATAATATTATCAAACCAATATTATAACATTCTAAATACAATTTCAAAAAAAGAACAGAAGCCATGTTTAAAAAAATCAAGATCACTCAACCTTTGTGGGTTCTAGGACCATAAATTAACCTTAATCCACAAACCTAGCCAGTTGCTTTAGCCCACAGACTACATTTTGGCATAGGTTTTTAGCTGTGTCAATACATGTAGAGTAGGTGACTTTCCCTCTGACATAAGCTATCTTTAACTGGATCTTTTTAAAATAACAAAAATATACTTGTATTTGAAAATAACAATAACAAACGTAAGATAAAATTATTGCATTATAACATACATAATATACTTTTATATTATATAATAATATAAATTTGATTAATATACAGTTTATTATTCTACTCTTTGTCTTGTTCTTCAAATAAGCCTGGAAAAGAATTTTAGACGAATTTATAAGTGGAAATATTTAAATGTTCCATTACTGTCAATGTTCCAAATGTGTGTTTGGTTATTATGGAAAAGTAAATTAAAAGTTCTATTAATAACTGCCTAAGTTTTTAAGTCATTCGGTTTCCTAGCTATTTCAATGGAATCGGCAGTCATAGAACCAGCCCCAACTCCAAGACTGGACCTTCGTAATTTTAGTTCCAAGGCAGAAATCTGACGTAACTCTTTGCGACACAATTTTACAGGCATGACACCATGAATCTGTCCCACATTTCCCATTGGCTGAATTTGAGGTGGTGGTTGACTGTGAGGTTTTGTAAACTGATTGTCATCTATGTCTGTTTTATCCTCGTCGTTTAACAAATGCCCTCTAGTGGGTGCTAAAGAGCTATAAATTGGAGGTAATTCAGGGCTGTCTTCCCAGAGCTTCTGAGAATTTGTTTGTTTTCTTGAGCTGCTTGCTGAACTATCTAATTCTCTTTCCCTTCCACTTAATTTCATACTTTCAGTTCTGGATGCCCATTTTAATTCTTCTGAAACCATGCTTGCTTCTTCTGGGTTCAGAACTTCATCTCCAGCATCATGATCTAAAAACAATACAAAAAGCAAAGAAAATTAGAGAGTTCCTCAAAAGTAGGTATTTTAGTCATAACATCCTAACATTATGCCATTAGTGTTTTTCTTTTTAAAAAAATATATTTTATTGATTTTTTTACAGAGAGGAAGGGAGAGGGATAGTCAGAAACATCGATCAGCTGCCTCCCGCACCACCCCCACAACTGGGGACGTGCCCACAACCAAGGTACATGCCTTTGACCATAACCGAACCTGGGACCCTTCATTCCACAGTCTAATGCTCTATCCACTGAGCCAAACAGGTTCCAGCAGTGTTTTTCTTTTTTATTGAGTTTATTGGGCTGATATTGGTTAATAAAATTATATAGGTTTTCAAGTGTGATAATTACATTATTATCACTCATAAATTATCTTTCAGGGTTTTTTTTGTTAAATAATTTCTTAGACAAATATAAGTGTGAATATGAACTATTCTGATTTTATTTTGAGACATCTTGCATGTGAATAACTGGGAACTTTTTTCTCTGGAACGAAGTTGAAAAATAGTCTGCTAGTGATTTTGGTACTCCCTGGAAACACAGAAGTGTTTGGGCGTCTCTGGTACCCTTCCAACCTGCCCTCCACTGGGATTGCCACCGGTGATCACATTCTAAATCCTAGCTAAGTGAAGCCAGCACTGGAGAATACTGTCTCTGCCCCATATCTCCAGCGACTCTTCTGGGACTTGGCATTATGTGTGTGAAAATCTAGTCTTGATAGGAGGGTTCTACTCTCTGAATATACTCTGGGGTTCTATTATCAAAATGGAGATGGAAGCAACGCCCCTCAGTGACGAACACTGTGCTGGAACAAAGCCTGAGGTTCTCAAATTATAGAATCATCAAACAGCAAAGACAAAAACTTGCTTAAGGGAAGCAGGTACTGGACCTCATATAATGAAAAGATGCCAACTTTAACAGACGTTGATACATGATTAGTATAGTTCTAGATCTATGAACATGAAGTTTAAAAACAGAAGTTGCACAATGGCAACTCCCAAGCCAAAGGTTTTAGTAAGCATATAATATCTGACCCAAAATTTGAAAATTGGAAAGTTTCATATAAAAATACAGATTTCCAACATTTCTAGAAAAAAAAGAGAACTGACAATTTCTGAACAGCAACTGGAACAGAGTTGCCCCTGTCCACTTAGACAACAGCTGCAGTCCCCTCTGCTCACTGTGGCTTCCCTGGCTCTTGCAGTCATGTTAGTTTGTGACTCCTGGTTTAAAACATAATTTGTTTTCTAGTATTTAAAATTCTCTCAAAAAACACCTGAATAAGCAAATGACATTGATCCTCACATAGAACTAACAGATCCTCACAAAGCTGACCACACACAGTGCTCTCAAGGTTTGCTTCACATTAGAGTCAATAGGAAGTTTTAAAAATCCTAATGCACAGGTCACAGTGGCACATGTGGAAGAACACAGATGGGCTCGCTTGAGAAGCCCACTCCCATGCCAGTCTTGGATTCTTCAGAATAGAAAGTTCCCCTCTTCCAGAATTTTACCATTAGGGAACAAATTAGGGAAAGATTACAGTAATTCACACAAGGTCACACAGCTAGTAAAACAAGAAGTTAGGAGTCCAACTCAGATCTTCTTTATCTTCTTGTTTTATTAAACCCAGATCTTTTGATTCTATTGATAGTATCCTCACAGAGTTTTACAGTGATTTAAATTGATACACGGATAGAGACTGAAATATGTAAACAAGTGCATAGACTGCATGTCCTTATAAACTGATTCTATTCTCATAAAATATGTTACAAAATAGATGCTCTATTCAGAGACATGACTCAAAAGTGACCACAATATTTTGGTCAAAAGATTAATTTTTAAAAAGTATTTTACTGATTTGTTTACAGAGAGAAAGGGAGAGGGATAGTTAGAAACATTGATGAGAGAGAAATGTCAATCAGGTGCTTCCTGCACACCCCCAATTGTGGATATGCTCACAACCAAGATCCATGCCCTTGACCGGAATCGAACATGGGAACCTTCAGTCCACAGGCTGATGTTCTATCCACTGAGCCAAACTGGATAGGGCAAAAGATTAATTTTTATGCATTTGAAAAATGCTAAAAAATACTCAAAAAAGATAAATACAATACAAGCCCAAAAGGCAGACAATGAAAAGAGTACTATAAAAACTAATAACCTGAATACCAATTAATATGTATTAACTAGAGGCCTTATGCACAGAATTCTTGCAAGAGTAAGCCTTCCTTCCCCCTACTGCCAGCACTGGCTTCCCTCTGTTACCCGGGACCTGGGTTTCCCTCTGTGACCCGGGCTTCCCTCGCAGCCCTGGCTTCATCTGGAAGGTGGTCGGGAAGGACATCTGGTCTAATTAGCATATTATGCTTTTATTATTATAGATTAGGATACTAACTATTAAGCATATAGTATATTTTAGAAAACTCAGAATTTAATATGTTTAAGTTGCTATAGTTTATAATTCAAACCAATCTTGTTTAGTTCATTAGTAGAGTAACATTTTGAAATAAGATATAATACAAGCTATATTCCCAATATGATTCCAACTTTATTTTTTTTAAAGCATGAGGAAAATACAGACAAGAATTTATACTAAATGTTAATAGTTCTGAATAGAATTATGGGTATTTTTTTTTTTTGCTATATTTTGAAAACTTCTATAATGACTATATATCACTTTTTATAGACAAAAATAAAAGTTTTTAAGATGGGTCAAAATAGAATAGTAAATTAGCTGAAATCATATATATATGATTTCATTTAAAATAATATATATTTTAAATCCTCACCCAAGTATATTTTTTACATAGATATTTAGAGAGAAAAAAGAAGGGAGTTACTTTAGGTTAGGGAATACAAAAGTCCATGGCACATGGCAAGCAAGCAATCGATTTGTGTAGTTTCCTTCATACATATACAATTATACATTCATTAAATTTCCCTGTGGTTTGTCTTATAGACAGACTAGAGAATTACTTTTGTTTACAGAGCCAAATAGAAGTTAAATTTATCTAGTCCTGAATAACCAGATCAATTGGGAAAAGCTGAACTACAAATCAGACCGACTTCACCAAATGCTAGAAAAACAGTGTTAGCATGACAAGTAGCACTAAATGCTTACGTTCAGATGGTACCGGTGGCCTTCGAACTGCTTCCCCTAACAGTTCCTTAAGTTTCTTCTTAAGATCTCTACTGGTTTTCTTATAGAAATAAAGATCTTTTTCCAGCTGTTGGATTTTATCTTCATATGATTTTAAAGTTTCCATAATGCCTTCGCCATCTTGCTCTATAAAATAGAAATTTACATTTAAAATCAGCTTAAAATAAATGTTTGAAATGATGTGTTTTCATATTTAAAGGGTCAGATTATGTTACAATATATCTGTTACCTGAATAGATTTGTTTCTACCTACAATTTGGATTCTGCCTGTAAAATTTTTCAAAGTAGGAATGTTACCTTAGTCACCTTCTCTACCCTAGCCCCATCATATTTTTATGATTCATAAGCACTTGAATAACTCCTAACTAGATCTATCTTTAGAACAACAAACCTTTTTTCTATACAAAGTTCACATTTGGGACTCTGTCCATCAGCTACATCAATATCCAAGTTTGTATTAGGAACAGTGGGTATATGAAAAGTCACAAGCCTTTGACTATATGCCCAGAGAATATACAACAATAAACTCAAAAAAACAAAACAAAAAAAAAACAGCTAAAAAAAAAATCTAAAAAAAAAGCTAGAAAGATTAAATTACAAAGGAAAATGCAACAGAAAAAAAAGGGGGAAATAGCATAGTAACAGGGTGAGGCAAAAGTAGGTTTACACTTGTGAGTAGGTGAAACACAGGGTTTATTTTTATACTAGAGGCCCAGTGTACGAAATTCGTGTACTTGGGGCAGGGGGTGTTTCTCAGCCCAGCCTGCGCCCTCTTGCAGTCCAGGAGCCCTCAGGGGAAGTATGGCTGACGGCTTAGGCCTGTGGGAGCCTAAGTTGGACATACTTAGCGCTGCAGCAGAGATGGAAGAGGCTCCTGCCACCACCACTGTGCTCACCAGCCATAAGCCCGGCTTCTGGTGCACTGACCATCAGGGGCAGCTTGTTTTTTTGCTATATTTTACATGACAACCTGTTGTTCTGCCTTTCAGTTGATTTGCATGTTAGCCCTTTATTATATAGGACTAGAGGCCCAGTGCACTAAGTCATGCACAGCCAGGGTCCCTAGGCCTGGCCAGTGATCAGGGCCAATAGGGGCCATCTCACCCAGTCCTGATCAGGGTAGGCTGGAGGGAGGGACCACGGGAGGTTGGCCTGCCAGTGGGGAGGGACTGCAAGAGCTTGGCCAGCTGCAGGGAGGGACCAGAGGAGGTTAGCTGGCTGTGGGAGTGCACTGACCACCAGGGGGCAACTCCTGCATTGAGGTCTGCCCCATGGTGTTCAGTGTGCACCATAGCGACTGGTCATTCTGGTCATTCAGTCATAATAGTTGCTTAGGCTTTTATATATATAGACTAGAGGCCAAGAGCACAAAATCATGCATAGGTAGGGTCCCTAGGCTTAGCCTGTGATCAAGGCCATCTTCTGTCCACTCGCCAATCCCCAGTCCCGTCCCACTGCCACCGCTCCGGTTCGCCCTGGTTCCCCGCTGGCAGCAGACTCCAGTTCCCCAGAGCCTGTGGCTGGGGGGAGGGACCAAGAGCTCAGCTGTTCTGCCCGCTTGCCAGTCACCTTGGTTCACCATTTTCCCTGCTGTGATCAAAGCCTGCAGGCTGGGGGGTGGGGAGGGACCGAGAGGTAGTCAATGCACCTCATGGCGACTGGTTGAGCGGTCTTTCTGCTTATGGTTGCTGGTCTTTTATTATATAGGATTATTATTTATCTATCTATCAATAATGTGTTTTTCCATAATGTAAACCTATTTTTACCCCACCCTGTACACCAGAAATTATATTAAAATACCACTTTTAGAGCCTTAAGGCAGAATTAAAATAAGGTAAGCAGAGCACATTTGAATGATATGATGTAATGGATCCTGTCATCAGGCAACTGGATATCAATTAACTGGTTATAGAACTAACTTAGAAGCAAATTGCCTAAGCACTCAAATTCACATATTTTCCAATTTTCTGCTTCCTTGGTTTGCTTCTTCCAGATCCCTTTAAAAGCATTTCCAGCTATAAATGCATAAGAATCAGGACTAAACAGCTAAGTGGCCTGGACTGAAGCATTACCAGTATCCCCTGGCAGTGATTTTTGTTGTCATAGCAACTGCTTGTTTACCAGCCATATGCCCAGGTAATGTGAGGACTGACTGCTCTGACAGCTCTTTCCACACCAGAATTAATGGTTGAACTATTGCGCACTGATAACAGTATTTGCTCAGAGTAATTTTGGCAGAGTAATGTTGACCTATGATATTACCTTAATGCATAAAGATCATAATCAGCTGAAAATTATAACAAGAAATATAACTAGAAATCTGTCAGAGCCTATCACTTTAATTTTATGAAGGGAAAGTAATTTAAATATCAGTTACTATATCCTTAGGAGGCAGAAATTTTTCAACTGTATACCACAAAGCCAGAAGACATTCTACAACTCTATGTAAAAACTAAACCAGCAACAAAGTAACAGGATTGCAGCAGTTCTTTTGTGTGATAGTGGGGATAAGCACATGGGGTGGCATTTCAAGCATGAATAGCCCTATATCAAAGGCTAACCAAAACATAGAAAGCAGAAAAACATGAATAAGCAGTTAACTGTATACCTGCTGGACTTTTAAGTGATCAAATGCTGTTCTATCTTCCTTTCCAAATCCCCCTCCTACATATCTCCTGTTCAGAACTGACAACAGGGCAGGCAGGTACCTGCGAAATGATGTAACAGCAACTGCATTTTTTGCTCATGTTCCTTTTGTTGGAAGGTCAGTCTCCGGTCACATTGCAATTTCAGATGTTCCAGCGCAGATTCCAATTCACGAAACATATTATCCCGTTCCAGGATTTTCATTTTCATTTCTTTATTCTGTAACTGGAGTTTTCGCTCAGTTTCTCGCAAATTAACCACCTAGCAAATACATTTTTTTACTTTTTCAGTCTGTCTTAGATAACCTGATACAATAGATTGATCTACTTCTGTTAGGCAATGTAAGATGAACTTCCTTAATCACCATGGTATAACTAGGCAAATGCTTTGTAACAGACCCACAAAATAACCTAACATTCTTTTGAATTTTTTGGGATTCTGAATTGGTGGTAATTTTATTTCAGTATAATGTTGCTCTACTAACTGCTCCTCCAACATTTCTTAGACATTTATAATCCTATAATTTACATTTATAATCCTATAATTCTATTTCTTTAGTCTAAGAAGATATTGAGAAACTAAAGACTTATAACAGCGTGAAGTCCAAAATGGATGTTATAAATAAGTGACCAAATTTTTAAAACTCTATAAATACCAAGTTTGGTTTGAGATTGTCCATTTAGTCCATTGGGTTCCTCTCTGCATTGATATGAAGTAAAAAATGTCTGTGTCACAGAGCTTGTTAATAGTATAATGACTTTTTAAGAAAAGCATTTTTCTCAATGGTTCTCAGGATCAGAAAATCCACTTACCTTGGCCTGGATGCTTTGGGTTAAGAACACTTACTCTAAGATTACCACAAAAGAGTTATTTATATAAAAAAAAACCTCCAGAGTACCCCACCATTTTTCTACCCTGCACACATTCAGCAATAGAATGCACTCTCATCAATAACAGCAGCTTACTACTGACAGTAATTATCCAAGAGGAGGGTTGTGCACAACATTTCTATTCATTTCTCATCTTTTTTTCACTTGTGTAACAGAATTAAAACTTTATTTTAAACTTCAGTGTTTTATTGCTCATTAGTTGTCTGATATTCCCTTAAATTGCATATGCTTTTCAGAGAAAGAAGTTATCTACTTGTTTAATACTTCATAATATATATTTTAAAAGAAAAAAGATGGATATAGTTCTCCATGGTACAGAGAACATGGTACAGAGCATTTCTGGATCAGTAAATTGTCAAATACATATAAAATCCAATATAATAAAAGCCCAATATGCTAATGTCTGGTCGTTCAGTTGTCTGTTCAACCAATCTAAGTGTAATATACTAATAATATACTAATGCCACTCAACCACTCGCTATGACGTGCACTGACTACCAGGGGCCAGTCAACCGGTCAACCAGTCGCTATGATGTGCACTGACCATCAGGGGGGCAGACACTCCAACTGGTAGGTTAGCTTACTGCTGGGGTCCAACCAATCAGGACTGAGCGAGATGGGCCAGACATACCCTGGAGCCCTCCTGTGGTCCTTCCCTGGCTGGCCAATCTTCCACATCCCTCCTCATGCAACGATGGGGACCCTTGGCCTGGCTATGCCCTCTCACAATCCAGGACCCTTCGGGGGATGTCAGAGAGCCAGTTTCGGCCTGATCCCACAGGCCAGGGCAAGGCACCCCATGGGTGCATGAATTTGTTCACTGGGCCTCTAGTATATTTTTACTCATATTAAGCATATTCAAGTTACTGCTAAAATCTATTATTGTCTTTGCCAGTGATGTACCACTTCATCTCCATATCAATTCACATGTTATGATGAAAAAGTAAGTGTACCCCTCTCCTACAGCAATGAAAGAAAGGTAACCCAAACTTGCAGGTCCTTGATTTTTCATGAATGCTCATTAGCAACATCTAAATCTGGAAAACATCAAGAAGCAGTGACAGGAATGTAAATTCTTTGATTTTAAAAAGTACTTCAAAAAGCTCTTATTTCAGAAGGCCCTTCAACTTTAAGAACCACACCAAGTTAGGCATACATACTTGGATAATCACAAAGCTTTCAGATGACAGCATGCAGTACTGTAAAGAGAAATCGTGCTTAAATCTGGAGTTACACCATTTTTATATGTCTTCTAATTTCCTTAAAAATTCTAAATATGTGAGATGTGTAAACATCTGGACCCCTCTTTAGAAGAAAATCCTCTCTCTCTCAAAACTAACCTTATTGAAATATCTGAAAAGGATAGCTCTAATCTCAGTAGGATTCAGGCCAATTAGTTTTTCCAAGATGTTTGCTTCACTATGAGAAAGGTTTTGAAATGAAACTCTGAGCGAGTTCTGGCGACTTTGGATACTTTCATTCTTGTACTCAATTGCAGCTTCCAAAGCTTCAATCCCTTCTTCAAGTTGGAAAAGAGCATGTTCTTCCTAAGATACAACAGAAATCATTCATTTTATTTTATTATTTTAAAAAGATATATTTTTATTGATTTCCGAGAGGAAGGGAGAGGGGGAGAGAGAGAGAAACATCAATGATGAGAGAGAATCATGGATCAGCTGCCTCCTGCATGCCCCCTAATGGGGATTGAAACCACAACCCTGGTCAATGCTCTATCCACCAAGCCAAACCAGTTAGGGCAGAAATCATTTTAAATGAAACAGTATAACTTGGACTTTGTCACATACTAAGATCTTATTATGCTACATTAAGTCCTCACTTAATATTGTCAATAGGTTCTTGGAACTGCAACTTTAAGCAAAACAACGTATAACAAAACCAATTTTACCATATGCTAATTGATACAAACAAGAGTGAAGTTCCTATGCCATGTATCTGGCCACAAAAATATCATCAAACCCCTAAATAAAGACCCAAAACACTTCTAATATTAAACATTGAAATAAATGTGAGCTATACATATATTTAAGGAAGGTTAATAAAAACAATTATGATAATGACTTTCCAACCCACTAATTCAGGGTTATGGGTGGCTGACGCCTGTCTCTACACTCAGTGTGCCAGGTGGGAACCCTCCCTAGATAGAACACTTCCATTGCAGGCACACACTCACCACATTCACTCAGACTGGGACAGTTTAGACACATGTGTTTATCTAATGTGCACAGCTTTTGAGATGTAGGGGGAAACCTGAGTCCAAAGAGAAAACCTTCAGAGACTTGGGGAGAAGGTGCAAATTCTAAATAGATAGTGAACCTGGCCTGGAATTGATGCCTCCTCTTGCCCTCATGCACACACACACACACCATCAACATTATAATGAAATGACAATTTTATAATATATCTCCCTCCCTAGCTCCTAAAGTGTATATTATGTGTCAGGGAGATCTGGAGACCTCTTGATGTTTCTTCAAACATCTATTAAAACAATATATTGCTAGGAGGGAAAGAAGAAATAAGATTCAGAATAAATTAAGAACTAAATCAGAGTTGAGTCTCTAAGGGAAAAACAATATGGCATTAAAAAAAAGTAGTGAGGATTTAAGGACATGAAACATTTCATAAGAGACATCATTGGAGGGAAAATATGGCAGCATAACATTTTTTTTATATGTCAGAGATTTTCTTTGTAGGAAAGAAATACGATACGATAAATACCTCAGAAAATCTAGTGGTTCTCTGAACTATCCAAATAACATGTTATTTGTGGGGAGGGATCCAAATATTGGTAAGCCATGTTTCACACTTGCCAAGACCTTGCAAAATATATATTTGCACATGTGCTGGAGATTACCTCAACTCTAAGTTCCTGAGTGCAGAGTATCTTGTCTATATTCATGCCCTGGTTGCCTAGCACAGTATGTCACACAATTTAAACTCATTGTCTATTGCACATGTATCAAACACAAGGCCCGCGGGCCAAATCCGTCCCGCCAGGCCTTGCAATGTGGCCCGCACCGCGCTGTCATCACTGCACTCCACTGCGTTTCCATCACAATGACAGTTTATGACTGTTCAGTAAACCATTCGGCCCGCGATTTAGGCTGGATTTTAGATTTTGGCCCCTTCTCTGATTGAGTTCGACACCCCTAGTCTATTGAATGAGTTGATGAAGAAGAGAAAAAAATATTTTTTTTCATTATGTTTTGGATATAGGGCCCAAATATTTCTTTGCATTCCTCTCCCCAGCATTTCCAGAAAAATAATGTCAGTACTTTAATTTACCTAAAAAACAGTGATTTCCAGAGCTTATTTTCTGAAATTCAGGGAAATAGTATGTAACAACCTATTCCAGTGAAAGGTCAAATAATATGTATTTTTAAAAGCTAGTTTATAAAATATCAACAGTGTTCTACAGCCATTTTATTTCTCTGTGCAATCACTAACCTTCAAGAACTTGATGATTTGACAGTCACTCCATAAGAAAGAAAAAAATAAACTTAAATCCTGAAAGGTACAAGGATGAATGAATCAGGAACCAGAAAATAAAGGTAGGTTATCCAAAGAACATATTTGACTCATAAATGCATAGTGTGATTCTATTTTTACCAAAAACAAATGTGGAAATAGTTTGACTTTACATATGGCTGGGAACAATTAGGTGCTAATTTAATTCCTACAGTTTTGGATCCAAGTTAAGAAAGCAACAAACTATAGCAAGACAGTATAGCAACTACGGAACCCTGACACAGCCTGCTCCAATGGGGCTGCATTGCCTAAATATCCGTGGGTCCCACTAACCCAGCAATAGGGGTGTGTGTGTGTGGTGTGTGTGTGTGTTGTGTGTGTGTGTTGTGTGTGTGTGTGTGTGTGTGTGTATATATATATATATATATAATTTTTTTTTATTTTTTTTTATTTTGTACAGAGAGGAAGGGAGAGAGAGAGTCAGGAACATCGATGAGAGAGTCATCGATCAGCTGCCTCTTGCACACCCCCTACTGGGGATGTGCCTGTAACCAAGGTACATGCCCTTGACCGGAATCGAACCCGGGACCCTTCAGTCCCAAGCCGACGCTCTATCCATTGAGCCAAACCAGTTTCGGCAGCAATAGGTATAGATTGACAAGATGAGTGGCAATGGGAAACTGTTCCTGGATAAAAATTTGCTACAACTCAAACCATCGATTACCAAGAATTAACTATCCTTTAGCATAGAGCACTTTTTAAAATGACTGTGTACCAAGGAGCAGGTCTGGGTGGAGCCTGAGGCTCTGCATTTCTAATGCCAGGGGACTCTGCTGCTGCCGGTCCAGAGGTCAGTGATCTGAGAGTAGTAGAAATGTAAAGCAATGGGCTCCATACCTTTTAGATTACACATAGCAATCAATACAAAAAGAAAACAAAACTAAACGTTTTGAGCAAGCACTACATATATGTATATTTCTCAAGTTAAATATAACTTATTATCCTAAAACCTAAAATTGGAAGCATACCTCAATTACTAGGCAACTACTCTGCATTATTGATTTTTTTAATTTTAGTTTCTGAATTTTACCAAAGGAATTAATTTGCTTATATTAAAGTGTATAGTGATCTATTGATAAAACCTATTACTTTCCCAAATTAGAAAAATATTTTCATTTATTGTGGAAAGAGAAAATAATTCCAAGCAATAAAGACATCAAAACAGCAAACCATTTTACCTAGATTCTACTGTCTTGTGTCACCTCAGCATTTCATGTTCCCCACCATCTGCTATTGGCAGGCATATTTGTTAATATTAATCTCAGATTGAAAACAGTGGGAAGAACAGAGCTCATTTCAGAGCCAACTAAAAAGAACCATGTGGTCACTGGGCCAGAAGCTTAGTTAGCTCTGCTGCAAGGAACTTGAATAGAACCTGGGGTCATTCCCAATTAACCTCTTTCGTGTAGATCCAGCCTGAGATTCTGCCTGTGGCTAAGTTGTGGGTCTTATGATGCTGAGGAAAGGTTTTACTGGAGAAAGTATCTGTGCTCCAGCTTGTCTTTGAAGCAGAGCTTGGAATGTTCCAATATGTCTATTATAATCAGCTTAAAACTTAAAAAAATAAAAATAAAAATAAAAAAAGATAATCAGTAGTGTTATGAAGTTATTTTTTAATGTTTTTTATTGATTTCAGAGAGAAGAAGGAGAGGGAGAGAGAAACAAACATCAGTGATGAGAGAGAATCATTGATCAGCTAGCTGCCTCCTTCACACCCCCTTCTGGGGATTGAGCCTACAACCCAGGCAATGTGCCCTGATCGGGAATTGAACCAGGACCTCCAAGTTCATGGGTTGCCACTCAACTACTGAGCCACACCAACTGGGCTCAGCTTATTTATTTATTTAAATAAAGGTGTTTGTTTAATCCTCATCCAAAGGTATTTTTCCATTGATTTTTAAGAGACAGAAAGATAAGAGAAATATCAATGTGAGAGAAACACATCCATTGGCTGCCTCCTGCAGGAGCCTGCAACTGAGGTACATATCCTTGACGGGAACCAAACCCGGGAATCTTTGGTCTGCAGGCTGATGCTCTATCCATTGAGCCAAACCAGCTAGGGCTGGGCTCAGCTTATAACTTTTAATGAGAACACAAGGGCTGAATATAGCAGCAGCATCCTCCTTTCCTGACTGCCAAGTTGAGCCTTTATAGGTAAGAAATGTATAATAAATGTGTGTATATGTAAGGAGGAGGAGGAGAAAAGAAGAACCGTGTGGAAGAAGGGTGCAGAGAAGCTCACACAAATAAATGGAACTCCACCGAGGCTCATCACTCCCTCACACCAACCCAGAGTGGCTGCTACACTGGTAGCATGCACACTCTATTTTCACCACAAAACTTTACACGTCTTTAGTTATAGAATTCCATGTGAAGAAGAAACTTTTCTAATGGCAATAATGAACCATTTACCCTTCTGCAAACATTATTTGCTTATTCCCATCTCTATTCCTTATTTAACAGTGTTGTATCTATAAAATGGCCTTTTCTATATTGACCAGTGTAGTATATTATGTTTTTCATAATCTAACTCATTTCTAATCCACCAAGACTGTCCTAATAATCTTCCCCCACCTGATCACTGCATTGCTTTGTATAAATAATAAGTATGGCTTATTTATGTTCTTCAGTGTTTAGAGTTGTCTTATCCTATTTTCTCCAGATAGAGTATGAATCTCTCAAGAGAAGCATAATGCTTTTTTGTTTGTTTCTTCCATTGGGCCCAGTAACAGTCTTGGGCAGACAAGAATTTCTTAAATACTTATGTGTTTTTCTGTATTTTAGGTTCTCATACCTTCAAATTTATAAACTTGGGCTCCAATTTAAACCGTCTTGTAAGGACAGCCAGAAACTGTGATCCACTGCACAGCTACCTAGGTTGAGTAATAAAACGGCAGTAGAGGCTTATAATACCACATAGCCCTCAATCGACTTAGTTTTCAATACTTTTCATCAACTCAGTGAGCAATAATCTAGTATCATGAAATCCTTTCTCCTCTTCCCTCTTAATTAGTTCCCTTTAACTTCTTCTCATACTTTCTCTAAAACACTACAAGACTCAGCAAGGTGCATGTTTCCCAGCTACTCAATTTCTCTTAGCAAGTTTCTCTTTGGTAATGAAAAGACATCACCAATAAATATTCATAGAGAAAATTATGGCTCAAAAATTCATCATTGTCTGATCAAGTACAGTACAGGTACCAATGCCAACTGAGGTAAAATTCTGAAAAAAAAAAAGACAAAGTCTGGGGCAATTTGAAAGCCATAAATGAAGTATCTTTTCATATTTTTAAAAATAAAGGTGAGAGAAGCTATATGGCCCCTTAAAAGGGTATTTTTATTAGGGTTTGAATTTTATGCATCTCTCTGGAAGGTACATGCTTCTGAACGTTGGGCTTTTTTCAACCAAGGTAATAGAATTAATCCTTAATGCCTGGGCAATCATTGTATGTAACGAATGGCCTAGGATCGTTCAAGAAAGATGCAGAGAGAGAAGGGAGGTGCCTTCTTTGGAAGAAATGAGAAAAAAAGAGTCCCTTCAATCATTGTCTATTTTGTGAGTTCAGATAAGAAACCCAGCTGAGAAGGGCCAGTCTCAAGGACAGTGTTAGTCTCCCAACCCCTGGCAAACCAGGAAGGGGCCACCCACACTCATGGACCTCTACATAAGGACATGGCGGTCCCTAGTCAAGCATGGCTTGTGGTGCCAGGTAAACTCATTTCATCTGACAAAGTCTCAAGGAAACAAAGTTCACCAGATGTATCATTTTTTATGTTTAAGTGACAGAGGGAGGAAATCATCCAAGTGGTCCATCATACAGCACTTCCAGTTTCAAAGAATACTGACTTACTTCAGGTGATAACATGCTACCATTTTTAAGTTTCTCTTCCACACTGTTTCTTCGTCTCTGTAGCTGATTTTTTTCTTTCTGGAGGGCTTGAACTTGTTCTGAAATCTTTATTTTTTCCTCAGTTGTGCTGCTCTGGAGCTGCACATTCTTTTTGGACAACTCTTGGTCCAGCAAGTTCAGGCGAGTTGATATTTTCAAACTATCTGTGGTTAAGGCCTAAAAAGATACAATCAATAAGAACTCAAAAAAATTATAAATCCAGATTGCATATAATTAGTAAAAACAAAGAGAAAATTACTAAATAAATATTTTTTAGGTACTACATTATTTTATCCCATGGATTTTTTTTTGGGGGGGGGGGGGCGGGGGTAAGGAGAGATGTAGAGGGACTTCATTTTCTAAAATCTTAAGTTTAATGCCTTTTTTTAAAATGAAAAAAGCAAACAATGAATTTACTACCAAATATTGCTTGGCCATATCAGACCACACAGCATAGGTTTTGAGAAGTACTATTTTTCTTTTATTTTCTAAATTGAACTTTTCTTCTTTGGTCTGGTTACATAGTAGAATTAATTGCATTAAAATTTCCTAGAGTTTGAGATTTGGTTGGTTTATTATTTAAACATATAATTTGTTTCTACTCATTTCATCTGCAGAAAATACAGCCAGTCAGATTTATGGAGCTCTTAATTATGGACTAAGTTAATTTTTAAAAATATTTGTTCATAAAAGTAATTATATGTTTACTAGAGTTCCGGTGTACAGAATTTGTGCACGGTAGGGTCCGTAGGCTTAGCCAGTGATCAGGGCTAATCAGGTTCGCCATCTCCCTGCCTCTTCCTCCCCTCATTCTCTCAGCACCCCGCCACCACTGCTGGTCACCCACCATGTTCCACACTGCCCCCAATGGTCAGCATATGTCATAGTGAGCTCCCAGTCTTGTTGTCAAACTCCTGAAGGGACACTTTGCATATCAGCCTTTTATATATATAGATAGTAAGATACGGTGTATACAGTAATTTTTTTAAAAGCCACCCTCTCACCTGAGTCCCATTCCCTGGAAACAATCATCTTCAATGTTATACATTGGTATATAACATCAAATAGTACAGTTTATTTAGAAAATATCCACTAAGGTTAATAATAGAAGTCTCCAGGGGAAATGGCGAGTTACTGCTAAATGGTTAGAGAGTTTCTGTTTAGGGTAATAAAAAGTTTTAGAAACATACAGTAGGGATGGTTATACAACATTGTAAATGTAATTAATGCCATTGAATTGTTCATTTTAAAATGGTCAACATGATAAATTTTACATTAAATTTTACCACAATTTAAAAAATACAAATAGTAATAAATAAATCATATTTGGCAAAACATTGAAATTTTTACTTAAAAATTGAATAGATTTCAGTGATGGTCATTAGATAATAAACAGTAATAAGCAAAATATTCTGAAAATCAGAAGTTTTCTTCTGATTTCTGGCTTCACAATGGTTTACTTCGTAGAGAAAAAAAATCCTGCTTTATATGACTTACAACCAGAATGAAACAGTGTATTAAATAGAATACCTGACTAGATCTCAACTTCTTATTTTCCAGGTAGCTCTTCTCCTGTAACAGGGCCTCCTTCTTAGAAACTATGGCCTCCCGCTTCTTCAGATCTTCTTCCAGCTCCTCTAATTCTTGGCGTTGGTTCAGAACTTTCTCTACTTCTTCATCTAACCATTTCTTTTGCTCATCCAATTTCTACATTAAAATTACAAAGAAATTTTATTTGTTTTCCTTCTGCCATAAAATTTATAAGGTACTAAAACTTCAGTTGGCCGAAAGACTTTAAATGAACATGTGGAAATAACAAAATAATGTTCCTGTCTAAAACTGTCTAGAAGTGAGTGGTTCCACTTAACATGTTGCTGTGTTGTGTAATAAGGAATTAAAACTCTCCTAATATATTTGAGTCTGAGATTTATTTAGGCTGACCAAGAAAGGGGTGACAATTTCTTTACATAGAGTAAGAGTTCATTCTGAGAACAAGCTGGGAATATTTTTCTCTGTCAAAGAGATGCATAACTCCATCACAGCACTTACACTCTTGGTTCCCCAACTTGAGATCCTTGATTGAATATGAACTGTACTTTTCACCACTGTATCCCCAAAATTTGGCCCATGACTGGCCTCAATAAAATGTTAAATGAATGACTGAATGCCTGATTCAATCAACTAATTGATGAAGTGAATAAATGAATACACACAGTGGAAGACATTGATGATGGAGCATAGAAATCCACTCTGCACTGTATCCTGTCAACATCAAATAATTATTCAGTAAAATACAGTCAGAAAGATTTCCAAAGCAAGCAACTTAATACTCTCTTGAATTAAGGATACCCAGAAGCAAAAACAAACAAAAATATGAAGGGAATATGACTGTTCAAAATGAACTCTACTAAGCACTCATTTGCACTGTGTGTTCATAGTAATGAAGCAATGCCAACTAAACAACAAATAGATATAAAATCAATATAGTACTATGTTCCTGAACTTTTGAAGCTTGATAAAAAATGATCCCTAGAAATCTACATTAAGACAATGAGATAGAAAATATGCATGAGAAAAAGAGAGCAAAGTAGCCACAACGAAGTTCGAAGACTGACTCATAGCAAAAAGCTATGAGTATGGTCCTACAGCAGTATCACATCCAAACCACAAAGAAGCCTAAAATAGTAGTGCTATACTTTTGAGAAATCAAAATGCTATCCAGAGCCATATAGAAATACTTTATTTTTGTTATATCCAGCAATACCATAGAAAGTCTTTATATGAAACTCTATGAAGTCTAGCAATTAAACATATTCTACAAACATTCCTTGACTATGTGTTGGCTTTGAAAGATGAACAATAGAGCTTTTTAAAGTTCCATTCCAACAGGAGAGAAACCAAAGCATTATTGGTGATAATAAATGCTAACTCCTACGTACCATGTAAGCAAAAATGGAGAGGGATTGGCTTTGTTTGGAAATAAAAGAAATGCCAATGCAAGTCCTACAGAGTAGGTAATATTTTAGCTATGCTTTGAAGAATAGGTAGGAAGGAGTCTGCTAACAATACAAGATTTTTAGGGAAATAATAATAGATTTTTTTGCATTTGATATAATAGAAGTTATGATTTGTGTAATTCACTATATCTTAGTTTTCTGAAAACTTCTTGATTTGTTTTTTTCTCTTTTTATAGCAAAAGTTCCTACCATAGAGATTTAATTTTAAATACTTTTTTCTTATACAGGGACTTCATATCAAGTCATTGTCCTATAATAAGCCCTCTGGATACTCACATTAATTAACATAATTTTGTCCTTGTTTAGAATCAAATTCTGGAAAATTTTTGTTTTCCAACATTAAAAAACATAAACTTTTGTGTGTATTTTTCTTAACCCAAAACAGTCAATGCAAGCATTGTAAATTTTTTATTATTGTACCTGTTTAAAATTTAGATCCTAAACATTTTGAAAAAGCAGATCTCACTATTCTGCATATTCCTACCTCTTCTACTCCCCTCACACCCTTTCCACCCAGAAATGCTCTTTAAACATATTCTAAAACACTCTAGTAAAATAAATAACTGGGAATACAGTAAGTCTTCACTTAACATCATTCTGCAATTTTAAACAAAACTATGTATACATAATGGAACCAACTTTACTATAGGCTAATTTATATAAACAAAAGTTAACTTCCCAAAGTATTTTATCAACATTACAATGAAACAATATTGAAATAATATGACATTATTCCAGGACCTGCTGTATATTCATGAAACTCTACTATTAAAGTATAAAATTCAGGAACAAATAATAAATTTTTCAGAATCAAGATTATGTATATGCATGTGAGTGTAATTATAATATTTTTTGTTTTGAGAAAGAGATTCTATTTATTTTTTTATTTATTGATTAAAGAATTACATATGTGTCCTTATCCCCTCCCTGTTGCCCCCCAAAAGTGCAGTTTTCTGTAAGATTTTTAGAACTGCCATTTTGAATTTACATAAAATTAAAATTTTGTTTTTTTGAACTTTCATAGTAATTTATGAATTTCACTTTTTAAATGTGGCATTAGTCCTGGTGATTTTGCTCAGTGAATAGAGCATCCCTGGCCCTCAGTTGTGGTGGGTGCAGGAGGCAACCAATCAATGTGTACCTCTCACATTGGTGTTTCTCTCTCTCTTTCTCTCTCTCTCTCTCTCTCTCTCTCTCTCTCTCTCTCTCTCTCTCTCTTTCCTCCACCCTTTCACTCTCTCTAAAAATCAATAGAAAAAATATTCTTGGATGAGGAATAAATAAGACACTAAAACAAACAATAGTTTTTAATATTTTGTATATGGTGCATATGAAATGAACGGGAAGCTCTGATTTTTAGAAATACATAGTTCCATGGGAATAAGTCAGTTTTGACATGGGAATAAATACAATCTGGTGAACATGGATTTCATGTTTATATTCCACATGAAATAAATCCATATCTGGATAAGAAAATAATTTTTTAATTTTTTTTTGAAGAAAATAATTTTAAGAACAGAAAAGTTTCAGAGGAAATATAAATTTTACGCTTAAGTTGAAAAATCTAGTGTTTGAAGATTTTATTCAGAGTTCACCATTTTTTACCTCTATTTAGACAATTACCAAATAGAAGAAAAACCAAAAATCACTAAATAGAATTGACAAACCTGGAGTTGGTCTATACTTCCAAACAAACCTTTTCTTCTTTCCATCTTAAATGCATCTAGGTCCTCAGCTTTCAGTATCAGACCTTCTTCCAGTTCTGTTTTTAACTTTAATTCCTACAGAAAACAGAAATCAGAAATACCTATGGCTTTCATAGTGGCCAAAGATTACTATGATAATAATCATTTTTTAACATTTGCTTTTTTTTTTTTAATATATTTTATTGATTTTTTACAAAGAGGAAGGGAGAGAGAGAGAGAGAGTTAGAAACATCAATGAGAGAGAAACATTGACCAGCTGCCTCTTGCACACCCCCTACCGTGATGTGCCCACAACCAACGTACACGTCCTTGACCGGAATCGAACCTGGGACCTTTCAGTCCGCAGACGGATGCTCTACCACTGAGCCAAACCAGTTTTGGCAACATTTGCTTTTTTAATTGCAAAAAGAAAGAGAGTAGATGAAGTCGGAGCCATTTGAAAATAACATTAGCCCCTTAGTGAAGCAATAAAATCTTACAGCAAAAAAATCAAGTTTTACTAACAAAACTAAGGGTTGTTGGTGTGTGTGTGTGTGTGTGTGTGTTTCATTCTTTCCCAATGCTACAAATTAGTGTAACATGGACAAGTCTGAAAAACTATAAATGTGCTTTTTCTTGTGCCTTCTGAACTCATTACCCTCAGTTAATACATCCAAGGCACTCATCTGTCATTGGGATATAGGATTTATGATAATAGAAATGTAAAAAGTAGCAGTCAATTTCTGGCATTCAAAAATCAGATTTTGCAGTATGAGAATAGCCTTGCAAAAGGGATCATGGTCCTGTGAAGGGTATTTTCATTTAGTTTCCATCCATACCTTAAGGGTCACATCAGAGAGGCCCATTGCTCACAGTGCTCTTCAGGTTTAGTGAAGATGCTCTGCCACCACTATAGCTTAGCAGGAATCAGAAAGGAGGTCGCCAATCAAAGGGGGCTAGTCCTCATACTATCTCCATGGTCCATGATAGAGAAGTATAGACATTGAGTGTGTTTAGAAATTCATAGCAATTTGACAAAATAATTTTATGTCTATTGAATATAATGATTAAAAGATGGACTTTTATAATATATTTTAATTTTTATTAAAATAGTTCATGTTTTTAAAAAGCATTGGGCTGGCACTAGTTGGTTTGGCTCAGTGCATAGAGCATCGGTTTGATTCTGGTCAGGGGCACATGCAATGGTTGTACTGAGCTCCGGCCCTGGTCAGGCAGTGAGGCAACTAATCGATGTGTTTATCTCACATCAATATTTCACTCTGTCTTTCTCTCTCTCTTCTACTCTCTCTAAAAATCAATGGAAAAATATCCTTATGTGAGCGTTAAAAATATAGATATATTGGGCAGTGATATATTAGTAATAAAAGTTGTACCTTTTCTACAGGTAATTTCAGAAGTACAGAAGATATAAAGAAAGGAAAAAGGAAGTTTACCATTTACTAGCCCTAGGAACAGCATAAAGGAGAAAAGAGACAGTAAGAAAGATGTGTGTCTTACCCTAGCTGGTTTGGCTCAGTGGTTAGAATGTTGGCCCACAGACTTAGGGATCTCGGGTTCGATTCCGGTCAAAGGCACATACCTCGGTTGCAGGCTCGATCCCTAGCCCTGGTCTGGGTGTGTGGGGTAGGCAACCAATCGATTTGTCTCCCCTCACATCAGTGTTTCTTTCCGTCTCTCCCCCTCCCTTCCACTCTCCCTAAAATCAATGGGGGGGGAAATACCCTTGAGTGAGGATTAAAAAAAAAAAGATGTGTGTCCCCATTTTCCTCTCTTAAGTTTTGGCTCAGAAAGGGGGTGGTAAGTGAAGGTGTCACTGAGGGTAGAGGGAGAGAGAATGTAGAGTGCAGAGGCCCCACTCCCACATGGATTGCCCAGCCTTGCTGAAAGAGCAAGGTATAATCAGGACAGACTAACTGAACCCCTCAGCCCCAGGTGACAAGCACCCTGAGGTGGGAGCTAACGGGGTCAGTAATCATGGAGAATTGACTTGCAAAATGAAGATGAGGACAGACCACAAGGTTAGCAGGCTAGGTGGAAGACCTAGGCTCAATAGGGATTTATAATGCCACTAGGAAAAGAGATGAAGTCAAAGCACCTCCATGCTAAGATGAAAGCAAGACCAGACTTTGAGTCATACCAGCCGTGAGTTTCATCATCAGGGGCCAGCAGGGAAAGGTTGACAAGGGAGAGCAGATTCCAATCAGTTACATCCAAAGAACAAATGAAACTCAGGGGCCACCTCCTCCATAGGATGCAATGAAAAGGTACACATCCAATCACCACATACATTGGATTCCATCTTAGGGAGAGAAGCACAGGGTGGAAGAGGCTAAAAGTCTAAATATTCTTATTCAAGAGAGCTAGGAATTATTTAAAAGAAATGTTTAAATTCACAGAAAAAGCTTAAAGAGACTGGACATTTGGTTAATTCTCATGTTTCCAGCAATTATCATGACATGGACTGGGCGGGACAGGGGGTGTCGCAAAGAACACAAGTCTGCTATAAACTAAATAAGTGTTCTCTGCATGCATTATGAGTGAATTATACTTACTACCCACCAATTTTTCATGCTTCCCTAGATCTAGTAGTTCATAGTTATAGTTTGGCTCCTGTCTTCGTCACAGCAACTTCAGGATGCTTAAGTAAAGGTACCTTATTCTTGGAGTTAACTCTACTATTTCTGTCCTTCCACATATGCTTTAAAAGAATACTGCAGTAGGTCTAATTCCCTCTTCTGCATATCACAATAGACATTATTGCCTTTATTTCAATTGTAATCCCTGGCATTGTGCTAGCCTTTTTATATCCACTTAAGGACACTACTTTATCCTCAGAATAATCCTATTGCCAAGGATTGTTATAAACTACATTTTATAGATGAGGAAAATGGTTCTTAAAGGAGTAAATAGCCCAAGATCACTATGGCCCACAATTCCAGGAGTTCCCACATCTTTTCTTTATAGATTATCCATGGACTTCAGTTAAGAATTGCTGTTCTAAGGAGAACCCATGCAGAAATCATAATATTTTCTGGAAATGGCTTAGTTGAATGGAAAATGGACAAAGAGAAGAATTAGCTCTAAAAAGAAGGCAAGAGGGGCTTTAGGACTGTGAGCAGGTTTTCTATTTGTGCATAAAGTAGGACAAATTTCAATATTTCTTTGGGGCACACTGTTCCTTTTTCTGGAATACTTATTCTCTCCCTTAAATGGTCATTTCCCTAACATGCAAAATATGACTAAAGAAACAAAATTGTCTTACATAACAACATAAAAAGCTTAAGTTACAGATAGAGTTACACTTCAGCATTCTATGCACCCTGACCACAGTTTTTTCTTTTCCCTAAGCATAGATTTAGAGAATTTTGTGTCTTAAATGTTTAGCCAGGGCCTATGAGGGATGGATGAGAAGCTGAGATGAAAAGACCATTAAGAATGACAGGCAAGCCTGATCCTTACATTGGAGGAAGGACTGTAACAAAAAGACTGGGTTACTGGCAGTAGAAATGAGAACTGAACAAATTCAAGATATTTAAAAGATATAATCTACAGGATTTAGCAATTCATTGGATATGGGTGATAAAGGAGAGGATAGAGTTAAGGATAACCATCAAATTTCTAGCTTACCCAACTAAACAGATTGAGATATCATATAAAGCATATTAGAAACTCTATTTTCTCCTCCATGAAGTAAGCAGTGAGTGGGGAAAATAAGGAGATTATTAAGGAAGATCATAAATTTATCTATAGGATAACCTAATGAAGATATCAATAGTCAGATATGAATCTAGGTCTCAAAGTGCAAACTTGGGATCAAGGATTAAATTTGGAAGTTGTCAGAATTTAACTGCAGCCATGGAAAAAAAATTAGGTCATCCAGGATAGAATATAGAAGATGAGGGCACAGGCTAGAGCCTTGAAGAATTCCCATATGTAAAGGACTGATAGTGTAGGATAAGCTAGTCAAGACAGACAATAAGAAATCAATCAGAGAAAAAACAAGGAGAGAATAATTTCACAAAGGCAAAGAGGGAAATATTTCAAGATGGAGGGAGTAGTGAACTATGCTAGATGCAACTGAGGTGGTGGTAAAACCCTTTGTACAAAATAAGCATCTATAGATGCAAGCAAGATAAAAGCGTCTTTGAATGTGTGGCAGTTAACTAGTTAAGACAAGGATTTTAGTGACAAAGAGCAGAAGTAAACTGAGAACTTTGAAATTGATGGTAAAGCTGAGAGTCAAAAGCCAGACTAGAGAGAATAAGAGAATGAATGGAAGCAGAGAAAACAAATAAATACAGTAAACTTTTTCTAAGAAGTTTGGTTATGAAGGAAGAGAGAGAGTAGTATAAGACAGAAGGATAATTTTAGGATGAATAAAATCTAAGGTGTTTAAAGGATTCTAGAAGAAGAAAAAAACGTTGGAAATATAGAAGAAGAATTAAATATGTTAAAGCAAATAAGTGCTTAGTGTAGATTAACTGAGGATACTCAATAAATATTAACTACTGCAATAATAATAATTATTATCATTATGATTAAGAATGAGTAACTCAAGGAAATTTAAAAAATTCCATTTATAACAACACCTAAAAGAATAAAATACCTGGCAATAAATTTAACCAGGGAAGTAAAAGACTACCACACTGAAAATTATAAAACCTTGCTGAAAGAAATTAAAGATTTAAATAAATGCTCATGGATAGAAAGATATTATATTGTCATGATGTCAATACTATACTAAGAAATCTACAGATTCAAAGTAATCTATATCAAAATTTCAATGGCTTTTTTGCAAAAATGGAAAAGTTGACCCTTAAATTCATACAAAATTGCTAGAGGCCTCAAATAGCCAAAACAATCTTGAAAAGAACAACAAAGGAAAGAACTTACTACCCAACTTCAAAATATTACAAAGCCACAGTAATTTGGCATAAGGACAGATATGTACACAAACAGAATAGAATTGAGAGTTTAGAAATAAATCCATAAATCTATAGCCAATTGATTTTTGACCAGGGTATAAAGTCCACTCACTGGGGAAAGAACAGTCTCTTCAAAAGATGTTTCTAGGACAATTGGATTTCCATATCCAAAAGAATGAAATTGAACCTCTATTTCACACTATATAAAAAAATTAACTAAATATAGATCAATGACCTATTAAATATAAGAGCTAAAGCCATAAATTTCTTTTAAAAACCCACAGGGGTAAGTCTTCACAATCTTAGATTTGGCAATGGATTGTTAGATATGACACCCAAAGCACAAGTTACAAAAGAAAAAATAAATTGGATTTCATAAATATTAAAAACATTGCTGCATTGATGAGTATTATCAACAAAGTTTAAAGACAACCTATAGAATGGGATAAAATATTAGAAGTCATGTATCTGATAGAGTTTAATTTCTAGACTACTAGTATATAAAGAACTCCTATAACTCAACAACAAAAGATAAACAATCTAATTAAAAAGTAGACAGTCTCCTTCCATCACCATTTATTTCTCCTTTACTCTTTCCTACCTCCCATCATCCCCTTCTCTTATTGTAATCACCATGCTGTTATCTGTGTCTGAGAAGTTTTGTTTTGTCTTTCTCCCTTCACCCTTTTCACCCTAATTTTATTAACCAATATAACCCAAAAAATTCAATTAAAAATTAAAATAAAAACAGGTTGTAATAGGAACCAAAAAAAGTAGACAAAGAACCTGAATAGACATTTCTCTAAAGAAGGTATACAAATGACCAATAAGCACATGAAAAAATGCTCAACATCATTAGTCATTTGAGAAGTGCAAATAAATATCACTTCAGACATAATTAAATGTATGTAACAAAATACACACACACAAACACACACACAGAAAACAAGTGTTGGCAAAGATGTAGAGAAATTAGAACCCTTATACATCCTGGTGAGAATGTAAACTAATGCTGCATTTACTGAAAATAGTGCTTCCTCAAAAATGTAAACATATGACTCTGCAATTCTACTCCTAGATATTTCAATTCCAAAGAAATTGAAAGCAAGGACTTAATTACTTATATGCCAGTGTTTATCACAGCATTATTCACAATAGCCAAAGGTGAAAACAACCCAACATCTAACAACAAATGAATGGAAAAATAAAACGTGGTATATGAATACAATGGAATATTACTCAGCCTTAAAAAGGAATTAGGTCTGCCAAAACCGGTTTGGCTCAGTGAATAGAGCTTCAACCTGGGGACTGAAAGGTCCCAGGTTCAATTTTGGTCAAGGGCATGTGCCTTGGTTGCGGGCACATCCCCAGTAGGGGGTGTGCAGGAGGCAGCTGATCGATGTTTCTAACTCTCTATCCCTCTCCCTTCCTCTCTGTAAAATAGGGGTGTCGAACTCAATCAGAGAAGGGGCCAAAATCTAAAATCCAGCCTAAATCGCGGGCCAAATGGTTTACTGAACAGTCATAAACTGTCATTGTGATGGAAACGCAGCGGAGTGCAGTGATGACAGCGCGGTGCGGGCCACATTGCAAGGCCTGGCGGGACGGATTTGGCCCGCGGGCCTTGTGTTTGACACATGTGCTGTAAAAAATCAATATGATATATTTAAAAAAAAAAAAAAAAAAGGAATGAGGTTCTGATACATACTATAATGTGGATAAATCTTGAATTATGCTAAAAGTTTTGGAAATAGTGATGGTTGTACAACATTATGAATGTAATTAATGCCATTGAACTGTAGAACTGAGCATGTTTAAAATGACATTTCATGTTATATATCTTTTATAACTTATAAAATTAATTGTAATATATAAAATCCCATTTACTGTCTACTTTAAATGGGTGAATTGTATGGTATGTGAAGTATATATCAATAAAACTGTTTAAAAAAAGAATTAGTAGCTTGGCTTAAATACTTTTTAAGTTCACTTCTCTCACTAAATTCTATGATTTTTTTTTAAAGGTTTGAGAATAGATTATATTCAAAAATTAATATCTAGGAAATCTCCAATTATGTTCTAAGCTGTGGGTTTGGTTTAACATTTCAAGAGAAGAGACTGGTATGTAGTGCTAAATAAGTGTTTGTTATTGTTATTATGATGGTGATCATCCTCCTCTTTCTTCAAAAAGAGTTCTGTGAGGCAAGAATGATTAAGGCTATTATTGATATGAATAAACAGACTCACAGAGGGTAAGTGATTTTCTCAATGAATGATCTAGCTAGGAACTGAGAGAGCTGGGATTTAAACTAACTCTGCTGGCCTGGCTTGAGAGCCCAGGCTGACACCACACCACTAGTTTACTCCACTCTATAAAAACTGCTGGACGTACAGGTTTGATCACTTTTCTGCTCACTATGAATGAAATAGTACCATTTTACTTTGTACTTTTTCCATGCCACCACATGGACAATGCATTTCAAAGCACTTTGAAAATGGGAAATCCTATTCAAATGTCAGAAGTTATTTAGAAAGTTGGCTTTATATGTTTTTGAGTCAAAACTACAGTTAAGAAACGGTATCACTGAACTTTCTTTTATGAAGTCAAAGCCTTCAAGACAGTACTCAGAATTCAATAAATAGTCTTTACTATGTAGGTGAACAAAGCTTTAAAGAGAATGAGGACAGTAGCCAAGGAGAGGCCAAGATGAGATATCTCACAAATAAAATCAAGACCTTGGCTTCCTTAGCTCTGAGCCATTTCATATTTAGCAGGAAAGTATGACAATATTACTTTGATTTTTTGTTGATCCCGCTGAATTTCTGTATCCAATAGCTTCCTTTTTTCATTTTCTTCTCGAAGTCTCTTTTGCAGCTGTACCTTTTGATATTTCATGTGATCTACACTCTGCTCTAATTCATTAGCACGTTTCTCATTTTGGATTGAAAGTGATGCCAACTTCTTACTATTTTGTTGCTTCTTCTGTAAGACCTGGGATCATATGGAATATTTCAAAATGAAAAAATTGTATTTCTCATAAACTTCAAATAAACTTAAAACTTTCAATTCTATGGCAAGGATAAGCATTTTGCATAGATTTTTTTTTTTTTTTTTTTTATAAATTCACAACGGTTTTTTTACATTTTTACTTTTACAATTGGGAAATTACCATAATTTCCACTAGATATAAAGGATGATGAGTCTCCCTGATGCTGACACCCAAACAGAACAAAATTATTATCTTTGTTTTTTATTAATGATATTGTAATTTAAAATTTTAACATGTACATGGTAAATATTAAAATAATACAAACCTGAACTTATATTTAATTTTGACAGTAATTGCAAAACTGCTGCAAAATGATGCTACTAGAATTTAATGTCTTTTCATATCACTATAAGTACTGAAAATCTTATTTAAAAGTGAGATAGGGCTCAGCCGGTGTGGCTCAGTAGTTTAGAGTCAAATATGCACCAAGAGGTCACTGGTTCAATTCCTGGTCAGGGCACCTGCCCAGGTTTTGGGCTTGATCCCCAGTAGGGGTGTGCAGGAGGCAACCAATCTATGTTTCTCTCTCACAGTAATGTTTCTCTTGTTCTCCTCTTCCTCTCTCTCAAATCAATAAGACATAAAAAAACAAACAAAAAAACAACCACCCCGAGAAAGGGTATCACTACCTTTTGCATTTATTCCACAGATGCTCAAGTGTACCAATTAGCATCAAAATATTAATGCAGCATATAGCTACATATATAATACCACAAAGAATACAAATTTCAGGGTTTTTCAATTTAAAAATTTGTTTTATGAACTGAAACAACTTCATAATACCAAAACAAAACAAAAAAATGTATTTCAATATTTAAAATGGTATATGTTAGAATACTGAAAGATGGTATTGTTATAACTATGTGACCCTTAGTTTTTTCATCTTTCTAAATTTCAGCTTGCTCGTTTATAAAATAGGGTAAAAAATACCCACTTCAATGAATTAAATAATGATTAAGTGATGCATACAAAATACCCAGGATGTATATGGCAGCTTATAGACACTTAACTGGTAACTGTCATGCTCCTCCTCACCCCCACCACCATCCTCATCATCTTCCTCATGCCCTCCTCCAATAGTTGTGCACCCATATGTCAAAGGCACAGAAATTTCTAAAACTGCATGTCCTTCCAAAACTGACATTATTTCTGTGTTATATTTATTTCTTACCTTATGGTTTTTTAGAAAAGATTAAAATAATCTATTTCTTGAATACAGAAATATTTTACCTAGATGGAAATTATGTAAACCTACCAATGCTCTGGAAAAGAAAAGTTGTATTCTAGTTTCTCTTGCTATTAAAAACTGAGTCCTATTTTTTTTCATAACTAGGTACAAGAATCCTCAAAAGCAGAAAGCTTTAAAAAGGTTTTCTCAATTACATTTTTAAATTACCTGGATTTTCAGCTTTGCGGCATCCATCTTTTTACGGAACTCCCTCTGTAATTTTACTTTCAAAGCAACATCAGACAGATCTTTGTTTTCCAGTTCCTGTAGCTGCTTTTCTGTCTCAATTAATTCCACTTTTGCCTGTTCTGCTTCGTGGGCAAATTTTGTTACTTTCAGAGAATACTGTTTGCTTACAGACTTGGCATCATTACCTTCACCAAAATAATAAGAACAATTATAAATTATATATATTTTTAAAAAACTAAGTAAAACATCAAAAACATAAAAATGCTCTACTCTTTTTTTTTTTTAACCCACATCCAAGGATATTTTTTCCATTGCTTTTTATAGAGAGTGGGATGGAGAGGGAGAGACAAGAGAGAAACACCATTATGAGAGAGATACATTGATTGGTTGCCTCCCGCATACTCCCACCAGGGCCCAGGAACCTGCAACCGAGGTATGTGCCCTTGACCAGAATCTAACTTGGGACCCTTTAATTTCAATGCTCTATTCGTTGGCAAAAACACATAGGACAAAAAATGCTTTACTCTCAAAAAGACAGCTGGGCCTGGTCGCCATGACTCAGTGGTTGAATGTCAACATATGAACTAGGAGGACATGTTTTGATTCCATCAGGGCACATGCCCAACTTGCAGGCTCAACCCCGTGTGCGGCATGCGGGAGGCAGCCAATCAATGATTCTCTCTCTTCATTGATGTTTCTATTATTCAGTGCTTCTCTTACAAATATTTAGAACACAGAGAAAAACAGAGTAAGATATTTCCATATCTCTTTTCATTCTAAGGTCAGCTACTAAACCTAAAAACTTCGTTTTGAAGAGTCAACTGTCCCTAAACTAGATTAGCAAACTCATGGCAGTGTTAAGTAAGAGACCAGAGGTCCTGGAATGAGTAATTTCCAGGGACAGTTTCTCATACTATTATACTGAAAATCTCTTAATATTTTCATAAAAAGGAGTTCTTGAATTAAATGTACTGGCTCTGCAACTCTGTGATAATTTTACTAACTTTAAAATACATACAACTACTATATTTTAGTGAATCTAAGGCCCTATAAAGTATTCAACACAATATTTTATAAACTAAAGAAAAAGGCACAGTGCCAATTAACCAATGACATGACAATGTGTTAAGATGCCAATGATTATGACATACATCCTGATTTCAGAGATATTAAAATGTAAAAAATATGTATCAGTTGATGAAATACAGCATAATTATTATTATCTGAAGTAGTTGCTATTCAGGAGAAATCATAGAGGCACCTTTGAAAAGCAAGCACACATTGACCCTTTTGCTAGTCACCATCTCTAGGGTCCTTTGGAAAGCTCGCAACTGTCTGTGGTTCTAACGAGTAAGGAGAGGACCTTCTCTGTGTAAGTTCAGGTGTCCTCTATACTAAGTTATCCAGGATGCGATACCCCGTGGTGTGATAACCTGAAGGGTAAATATCCTCAACTACCACAGCAGTACCCTAAAATCTTGGAGACGAAGAAGCTATTTAATCCCCTAAACCAGTTCTTGGATACTCCTAAGAGAGTTTTACTGGCAGTGATCCTGTCTGTGAGGAAGGAAGATATTCATACTCAATTAGACATTGGGGAGACTGGAGCTGGGGTGATGCACAGCATAGAGGTCGCCAAGAATAAGGAAGAAAATGCTTTGGGACAGGAGCAGGGTGAGGCGGTTTAGAAAGGAGGACGATCAGCCAGAAAGCAAGTTTGCAAGAAAAGGGGGGAAGTAGAAAAATGGGCAGAGGAGTTGGGACCCGTCATAATTCTTTTTTTTTTAAAATATATTTTATTGATTTTTCACAGAGAGAAAGAGAGAGGGACAGAGAGCCAGAAACATCGATGAGATAGAACCATCGATCAGCTGCCTCCTACACACCCACTACTGGGGATGTGCCCGCAACCAAGGTACATGCCCTTGACTGGAATAGAACCTGGGACCTTTCAGTCTGCAGGCCAACGCTCTATCCACTGAGCCAAACCGGTTTCAGCCTATCATAATTCTTGTAATTTGGGTGTGAGTATAGCCAGGGGCTTAAAGAAAAGAAAGATATAATTTCCTTCAGTTCCCCTATATGTGACCAGAGAGTTGTTTTTCATTGGAATTGGGGAAAAGAAACACTAGTGTCTCTTATTCCTCTAATTCTTAACTGAATTTCTAAGTAGTCAGCTCATACTTTGAGTATATTTGGGGCAGGAGAGGGTGCAAAAAGCATGAGATATACTTTTAGGGCAATTTTAATGTAACTGAGGGTGAGGAGAAGGTGTGGCACATACAACCAACCTGGCAGAAATTTGAAACTAAAAGTCAGAGGTAAAAGCTTGGCTTGCTCAAGAGAACAGCTTTTAAGAATAACTCCTTACATCTTTAGAGAAATAAAAATTAACTACATTTATATGTACACATATAATACCTTAATAAAAAAATTTTAAAAATTAACATTTAAAATATAAAGTTTATGATTACTGTTAAAAATGAACTATCCAAAAATTGATTAATAATTGAAAATAAATTATTATTAAAACGAATTAGAAAAACATCCCAGACATATTTCCAAATGCCTAGGATAATATTTCTTTGAAAGTGGCAAAAATGGAAGTGCCACAGAGTTTTAACACAGCACAGAAAGCACACTGGTTAGAAAAATTCATAGATGAATCTCAGTATAACAAAGTTCTTTTAATAACTAATCACATATTGGCTTCCAAACACACCTTGTTATACCAAATGCCAAACTACAGTGGAGTGTCCTGAGCATCAAAAACTAAAGTAAATGTTACACATCAGAAATAATTTTAGAAACTTTTCTTTCTTATATTAGCTGGTTCATAGGCTATTATTACCTGTTTTCACTAATTCTTTAATCAGATCTTCTTTCATATTGATGTTAATTGTAAGTTCTCTTATTTTTTGTTTAGCTTCAGTAAGTATGAGTTCTGAATGCTTTAGTTTTTGCAAATTCAACTCTTGACTCTCCTGAAGACATTCAATCTTTAAATCTTTAAAATAAAAGAAACAAAATTGGAAAATAAAACTATCTCCTTATAAAATATTCAACAGAAATGGAACTAAAAGAAGAAAAGTGAACACGGAAGATGTCTAGAGATAGCAGAGGAAGGGACAGAAACAGGGAAGGAAAAAATACATGGAAATTGGGATTTTAGTTTTCTAGTTTACAGTAAGAGTCTTTTTATATGCTTTCGTTGTATCCCATACAGTTCTGATAGTTTTTCATTCCCCTTAAATATTCTGCAATTTGAGTTTTTTACTTGAGTTATTTAAGAAAGGTATAAAATCTCCAGGTGGGTATAGTGAATTTTTCCTATTACTTTTAGTCGTCTGGTAATAAAAGATCTAGACTATACCAGACTACTAGAATGTGGGCCAGCACTGTTTGTTCTTATCTTACACTAGAACATAGATAAACTATGTCACCATTAAAGATTAAGTTCAGCTTATCTTTCTTTTCATAAGGAGTCTTCCTCAGTGAAGGAGCTAGTGCACTGATTTACATTCCGGCATAGTTTTTTTCTTGGTTGTAGATCAGTAACAAACAGTTCAAGAATGGCAATTTGACTAGTACTTATCTGTATTTCTTACACATTTTTTAATTTACTTAAGATTTATTTGTGACATATAGGTAAGTTTTTGTTAAATATTTATGCATAACCACTTTAAAAAGACTATTTTAATAGCGTAGGGCTTATCTGTCATGTTACTTATATTCTCTATACTCTTACTTTTTGTGCTTTAAGCACTCATAGGCCAATATAAACTAGTTAAAATTTCCTACTATAATTTTGGGAACATAAACATTTTAAACTGTTATGCACCAAATAATGTGTATTAGAATATTATAAGCACCCGCAGATATTTGGCTCCAATGGTAAGCATGTGTGCCAATGAAGCAGGAAAGCAGACACCTAGTAAATTACGTAAGATACATTTTAAAGTAGTCAAGAGTACAGTGCATAGCAACTTGGGCTTGTGTGTAAAATCCTCCTTCTGAGAGATTTAGCCTGTAACTCTATCCAGAATTGTTTGGTGGGAAAAAACTTTTTATTAAGGAGTAAAATGAATGAAAAAATTAGAAGTAGAGCACAGAACATACAGAAAGTTCTACCAATGAGGAAAACACTCCTACCAAGTTCCATCATCAAGAATTCCTAGATGCTTCTTAAATTATTGACTGAAGAGAAAGAGATGTGTCTTATAAACATTAGATATAAATTACTTAAAATCTGTGTACCTTCATTCCCCAAACTTGACTTTTGTGTTTGATCATGAATATCATTCAATTCAATAAGAGAACAAACAGAGCCTGGCTTCTGAATCCATGAGTGATTTTTATGTCTAAAAAAACAAAGATCAGGATCAAAGGTAACTTGTCTGTTAGTGTTTGCTAATCTGCCCTCAAATTAGTTTTGCCAAAAAGTGACTATAATGTTAAAGAATTATTAATTATACTGTATAAGATAAACAGAATTTTACTAACATTCACATCCATGTTGGGCCTTATATCTGTTGCCACTGTGGTAGCAAAATCAGGAAATTAAAAAACATTCTCCCTGAAAATTAATATCCAATAAATATATAAGCTCTAAAAGCAAAATTATTTTTTAATTTAAGACTGATGACTGTGTTTAAACACTGGTTTCATAATGCATTAGTTGACAGCACATTTATCAAAAACTACCTACTGTTATTTCAATAGAAAAGATACATTTTAATGAAAAAAAAATCTGTATATATTTATTGCATCATAAAATTATGTTTATTAAGCCAGTTTATATTTAACATACCTAATTTCAGATTTCTCTTGGCCTTCTGATTCTTCATCATCACTGTTATCAGAAAATTGGCAGTGGAGGACTTCATCTTGTTCTTCTATGTGACCCAGCAGGATCTGACTTCGTGTTCGAAATCCAGCCACTACTCGATCCAGAGAGTACATAGAAGGGCTTGTGTAGACCTTACAAGTAATTCCCCCACCCAACAACAACAAAAAATGATTTTTTAAATGTCTATTTTTATCTTACTCAAAATGTCTTAAGAGGTTATTAAATAAGTACTCTTAAATTGTCTAATTGCTGAAAATATGCATTGCCCCCCAAAAATATCAAGTTTCATTGCACAATACTATTGTGCTTCATGAGCACATGCTTCTTCCAGAATCCACATAGCTCTTCTTCTTCTTCTAAAAAGTTCTTCTATCTTCAACTACAGCTTCATAGAAAATTCTTTTGAATACTATTTGGACTAATTTTTATGAAAGCAAAGACTAAAAATATCATAGCATGGGTACTTCCCAATGAATGCAAAGCCCATACATAGTGCAATAGGAGGCAACTGTTTTACACCACACCAACCTTCCCAGTGCTGAACACTTGGAGAATTACAGTATTGCTGTAAAGGGTCAACATCCCCCTCCAATCCAAATCTACCAAATGAAGTCACCACTCCACTGCTAAGTCAAAATATTCTCAATTTGAAAATCCAAATGTATTTACTCACACTTTATATGTGGTGGTTAGGCATACTGAGTTAGTACTCTAAGTGACATACTTAATATGTCTCATAGGATAATTAAATGTTCATGAGCTAGCCTGAGAACTTTCTATATTATAGCATGCTTCTATTGACAATGTACCTTAATGAGCTTGAAAAACAACAATAATGAATTAGAAATTGCCTTTATAATTTTTTATATTTTGTTACCAAATATTTATCTTCACCACCTCTTTGTAACCGAATCTCAGGGTAATTTCTCAAAAAAGGTAAATAATAAAACCTTTACAGGATACATGCAATTTGTTACTATAAATTATTGTAAGTATTATAACATGAGGCCGTCAGTCAAGATGGCAGCAATACTCACCTCCTCCCACAACCACATCAAAATTACAAATAACTACAGAACAACCATCATTCAGAACCTCTTGAAATCTGGCCGAATAGAAGGCCTTAATTAGGGAATTAAAGAAGCTACATGAAGTCTAGGAGATGGGGTGGAGATGCAGAAAAGGTTAGTCCCATATCCACCTTTGGTGGATAAAAATTGGGAGGGATATCTTGGCTGCATAGGTCTCCCTTAAGAAGCCAAACTCCCAGTCCTCTCATCCTAGTGTTCCATGCCAGGAAGAGAAGTCCCCATAACTTCTAGCTGAAAAAACCAGCAGATAGTGAGGCTGAGTGAGATGAAGGGCTGCTAGAGTCCCAAGCAGTTCCTCTTAAATAGACCACACAAAGACTCACTCATACTTTACCCCTCTGAGCTCAAGCACTAGAGCAGCAGCTTGGAAGACACTGTTTGCCCCACCTTGGTGATTCTCTGGGGCCATGGCCACCCAACTTTCAGACCCACCCAAGCTGTTCCCAGTGGCTTTTCCATACAAATGATCTGTCTTGGTCCATGTTTCAGATTTTCCTAAAATCTCTCAAACAAGCAGCATCTGGCCTCAGCAAGCACTGTACCTCTCACTGGTTCCAGGCATGGCACTTAGCAGCAGCTGGCCTTGGTTCATAACATGGCCTTGCCTGGGCAAATCCAAGTTCACCACAAGTAACAGCCATAGGCAGATCACTTTGTAACCAATGCTGAATGGCCCCAGGCAGGTCACAAATTAAAGAAATGGAGGAAAGCAAATGACTGGATATAGAGTTCAAAACAGTTATAAAGTTTTTCTAAAATTTTCTAGAAAAGGCTGATAAATTTAGTGTGATCCTTGAGGATATAAAAAAGGACCAACTAGAAATTAAACATACACTGACTGAAATAAAAAATAATATACAGATATCCAACAGCAGACTAGAGGATCACAAGAATCAAGTCAAGGATTTGAAATACAAAGAAGCAAAAAACATCCAACTGGAAAACCAAAAAGAAAAAAGAATCTAAAAATAGGAAGATAGTGTAAGGAGCCTCTGGGACAACTTCAAGCATACCAGCATCTGAATTATGGGGGTACCAGAAGAAGAGAGAAAGCAAGATACTGAAAACCTATTTGAAGAAATAATGATAGAAAATTTCCCTACCTGGTGAAAGAAATAGACTTACAAGTCCAGGAAGTGCACAGAACCCCAAACAAGAGGAATCCAAAGAGGACCACACCACGACACATCATAATTAAAATGCCAAGAGCAAAAGACAAAGAGAAAATATTAAAAGCAGCAAGAGAAAAACAGTTAGTTACCTACAAGGGAGCATCCATATGATTGTCAGCTGATTTCTCAACAGAAACTATGCATGCCAGAAGGGAGTGGCTAAAATATTCAAAGTGATGAATAGCAAGAGCCTACAACCAAGATTACTCTACCCAGCAAAGGTATCATTTAGAATCAAAAGTCAGATAAAGAGCTTCACAGATAAGAAAAAAGCTAAAAGAGTTCATCACTGCCAAACCAGTATTATATGAAATGCTGAAAGGTATTCTTTAAGAAGAAGAAGAAAAAAAGGTTAAGATAAAAATTATGAACAAGAAATACATATCTATCAACAAGTGAATCTAAAAATAAAATGAATAAAAAATCTAATGAACAGAATAAATTGGTGAGTATAATAGAATCAGGGGCATAAAAAGGGAGTGGACTGACAATTCTTGGGGGGAAAGGGATGTTGGAGATGCAGGAAGAGACTAGACAAAAATCTTACACCTATGGATAAGGACAGTGGGGTGGGGGGTAAGGGCAGAGGATGTGGTAGAAACCTGGTGGAGGGGAGTTATGGGGGAAGAAAGAGGAACAATTGTAATAATCTGAACAATAAAAACTTACTAAATAAATAAAAAATTAAAAAAAAAAAGAAACAGCCGAAACCAGTTTGGCTCAGTGGTAGAGAGTCAGGTCTGTGGACTAAGGTCCCAGGTTCTATTCCAGTCAGGGGCATGTACGTTGGTTGCGGGCACATCCCTGGTAGAGGGTGTGCAAGAGAGGCAGCTGGTTGATGTTTCTCTCTCATCCACGTTTCTAGCTCTCTATCTCTCTCCCTTTCTCTCTGTAAAAAATTAATAAAATATATATATTTTTTAAATGGGGCACATTATTTAAAAAAATAAAAAAATAAAAAAGAAAAAAAGAAACATACAAGAACAACCAATGATACATAAATAAGTGGAACAACAAACCGATGTTTCTTTCTCCCCCTTCTTTCTTTCTCCAAAATCAATAAAATAGCCCTAACTGGTTTGGCTCAGTGGATAGAGCATCGGCCTGTGGACTCAAGGGTGCCAGGTTTGATTCTGGTCAAGGGCATGCACCTTGGTTGTGGGCACATACCCAGTCGGGAATGTGCAGGAGGCAGTTGACTTGTTTCTCTCGCATCGATGTTTCTAATTCCCCATCCCTAATCCTTCCTCTCTATAAAAAAATCAAGAAACATATTTTTATAGAATAAAATCAATAAAATTTAAAATTTAGCCCAAACCAGTTTGACTCAGTGGATAGAGCATCAGTCTGCAGACTAAAAGGTCCTAGGTTCTATTCCAGTCAGGGCATGTACATTGGTTGTGGGCACATCCCCAGTAAGGGGTGTGCAGGAGGCAGCTGGTCAATGATTCTCTCTCATTGATGTTTCCAGCTCTCTATCCCTCTCCCTTTTTCTCTGTAAAAAAATAAAAAATAAAAAATAAAAAATAAAAATATCAATAAAATATATATTTTTTTAAATTTAAATGTAATGCCTTCAGGGGGGAAAAATTGCAATTTTACAAGTATTCTACTTTTGTGAATCTGGATATTTCAGAAGGTTTTTAAATATATCTCTTAAGAATATTCCAGTTGGTTTTCTTAGTATACAATTATGTCAAATACTGAAAGTGGTATTATAAACATATTTGCCTTATTTCCTTTTCATGATACCACATTTCATCAAATCTAAAATGCCAGCAACACCATTATTTTTATAGCACCAAGAAGGGAAAAATATCTTTCAAATTATGACATAAAAAACTGTCAAACCATCAACCATAAAGTTATCCTGCCACCAAGGATGATAAAATGTGATAGTTTAAATCTTATAATCAATGAATTATGGTAGGTTTTCATCAGCATTTGTGTTTTGTTTTGTTTTTTTTGCCCCCCCCCCGCCCCAGCTTTTGTGTTTTTATACTAAACCGAATGACTGTGACCACCTTTCTAATTTATTTTTTTTCCAAAGTGCCTTTTTAGTATGTATAACATTAGCTTTTGGTTTTAATTATATCATATTTCAATATTTAAAAAGTTAGAAATCTCTATTATATTTTAAGTTGAAATCAAGATTCAATTTTGCATTTCATCAGATCAATTTTTGGTATTTATTGAGACAAATAGTTTTTTCTTTTTTTCATATTAATTTAGTACATAATATCAGTACTTTTCTTTTATTTACCTGTATACTATTTGCAAAGATATTTGTGCCCCTAGCCTGGTTGGTGCAGCTCAGTGGTTGAGGGTCAATGCATGAACTATGAGGTCACTGATTTAATTCCCAATCAGGGCACATGCAGAAGGCAGATAATCAATGTCACTCTCTCATCGATGTTTCTATCTCTCTATCCCTCTCTCTTCTTCTCTCTCTCAAATCCATAAAAATATATTTTAAAAATAGATAAATAAAATAAAATAAAAAACAGAGACCAAGAGAGGGGGAGAATAAGTATGTGTAACTTCTGTAATAAAAAAAAAACAAACCCAAATGTTATTTTTAAAAAATAAAAAAATAGAACCAGAAATACTTTCACATAACTAACCAATATAAAAAAAACAGAAAATTAGTCGAAACAGATTTGGCTCAGTGGATAGAGCGTCGGTCTGCGGACTGAAAGGTCCCAGGTTCGATTCCGGTCAAGGGTATGTACCTTGGTTACGGACACATCCCTAGTAGGGGATGTACAGGAGGCAGCTGGTCAATGTTTCTCTCTCATCGATGTTTCTAGCTCTCTATCTCTCTCCCTTCTCTCTGTAAAAAAAATCAGTAAAATATATTTTTAAAAAACAGAAAAATAAATATAGATGACTTAATATGTAAGTATTAAACTAAAATAACAGTGTGAATTATATGAATTTACCTTTCTCCCTAAATGTTTTATAAAAAAGAACTATATATTCAACCATAAGGAAAATGTTGATGATTCTACAAAGTAAAACTAAAATTAATAATAACAATGATTTCATTTTTTAATTCAATTACTCAAGATTGAAAACCATAGAGAATAACATGTCTGTCTTAATCACTCTGAGGTAGTAAACCTGGGATATAGTGAAGGCACTATATCTATTGGGCAGTGAAGGCACCATGGACATCTATTGAGGACACAATGTAGTAGGCCTGTGGTCGGCAAACTGTGGCTCACGAGCCACATGCGGCTCTTTGGCCCCTTGAGTGTGGCTCTTCCATAAAATACCACGGTCTGGGCGAATCTATTTTGAAGAAGTGACATTAGAAGAAGTTTAAGTTTTAAAAATTTGGCTCTCAAAAGAAATTTTAATCATTGTACTGTTGATATTTGGCTTTGTTGATGAATGAGTTTGCCAACCACTGTACTAGACAATTTCAGAGTTATCATCTAAATCCTCCACACATAACATTCTGACATATAAGAAACCTGGGGATCCCACAGGTTTAGTCATATGCATGCCTATGCAATAGAGCTGGTGTTCACCCCAAACCTACCTGATTGCAAAGTCTATGACACCTAGCATATTTCTTATCTCTTTGACTATAATCACATAGATCTCAAACAAATCATCTCCATAAAAATAACAGAAGCCAAATTCATGAGTCTGCTAGTCTTTTCCATGTAGAGATAACTTGATTTTTTAAAGAGAAATGTGTGTGCATATATTTACTACTTACATATTCATAATTAAAAAAACAAAAGTTCAGCCCAGCTGATGTTGCTCTGTGGTTGAGCATTGACCTATATAAACCTGGAGGTCACAGTTTGATTCACGGTCAAGGCTTATGCCGATTTGTGGGCTTGATCCTCAGCAGGAGGCAGCCCATCAATGATTTTCTCTCATCATTGATCTATCTTTCCCTCCCTCTCTCTTCCTCTCTAAAATTAAAAAATATATTTTCAAAAAGTTCATACAGATCTTCATACAATCTTGAAGTGTCAGCTTGGCAAGACTGAGTAATACATAAATGTCATTTTGAAAATAGTAAGACAAACCAAATAAATAAAAATAAATACCCTCCAAACTCATCTTAACTTGGTGTGGTTAAAGAAAAAAAAAATTCATGAAGATATCAGACTTATTAATCATGACTAAAAATATGATGGCAAAGGATAGCTTTTTCTCCTTGATGAATATAGATATTACCTTCAAATATTCTTTTTAAATATAACTATTGTCCTATTTTTTATTAAAAAGCATTATATGATTAAATGTAAGAGAATATACACAAGTCTATTAAAACCAAACAGAAACCAAACTACGTGCTGAGACTGTACAAATACACTGTGATATTTTATTACATATAATATTTTTAAGATCTTAAATGTAAGAGATTATTGTTTAGACTTTACCTTCCTGGCATCTGATCTTTCTGGGATATAAATATAACGTCCCAAACGAGCATCAAACGGTACAGTATATGGTCTCTTTTCTGGTATCCTGGCATCTGGGCCATCTCCACAAATTTCCTTAGCTGAAGAAGTCATTGACAGGTTAAGTTTTGTTGGTTCTCCACTCAGGTGATCCAGAAGAAGTTGTTGTTCTATGATTTTTTCATTCTTTGTAGAAGAAAGATGAGAATTTAAAAAATAGAGATCCTCAGTACGTGTATAAATAATGATAAAAAATGAATTGTACATTGACCAAAATCACAACTACAAATCACAATTACCTTAATGGTACAGTAAAACCTCATTTATCCAAAGACTTCTGGTGTTCACAAGGATCAAGAACTGTTCTGATTGGTAAACACTTTTGAATAGTAAGCAACAAACACAGCAGAGAATTAAATACTTAAAAAAAAAAAAAAAGGTCCTATACACTGTGTTTGGTTCATTTGCCAACCTGAACCACTCTGATTAGCTGATCTTTATAAAAATTTGGGCTTTCTGAGTGAAATCAAAAAGTAATAAGAGACAAGAAAGTTGAAAAGTGGAGGAAAAGCTGCAAATAGCAGAGGTGGCAGCAAACAGACAGCAAATGAAGAGAAGTGAAAGTCTTTACTCATTGGGGGGAGGGAGGGAGGCCAAAGCACAAAGAGATAAAATTAGACAAACAATAGTTATTCACACTTGGGTACATAGTAGACATTTTCTCAAAAACGAAAACCATCATTTTCAAGGGAAACAAACTCTGGTTTCATGCAAAAATTACAATTTTTGGAAAACATTTCTGCTATTGTGAGCATGAGGACAGCTTCTAATACTTAAAGAATGCTGTTGAAATAAGTGGTGATAGTAATGAATGTGGTTTTTTTTATATTGTATAATGAAATGTGTCAACATCTGCAAGGTCTGCATAACTCAGTAAATAAATATTTTCCAAATGACCGATGCATGATGACTCAAAATCAGATGTGGATAAAAGGTCCATTCAAAGTACAAAACAGGGAGGGACTAACGACTTCATTGTATAAATATTTTTACTTTTTTTTAAATTAAGGTATTACATGTGTCCTTATCACCCCATTAACTCCTACCCCCATACCAACTCATGCCTTCACCCCACTAGTGTCTGTGACCATTGGTTAGGTTTATATGAAAGTATACAAGTCCTTTGGTTGATCTCTCCCCTTTACCTCCATCCTCCCCTATCATTCCTCTGAGATTTGAGCATCTGATCGATGCTCCTCTGTCTCTAGATTTGTTTTTGTTAATTAGTTTATATTGTTCATTATATTGCACAAATTAGTGAGATGATGTAATATTTATCTTTTTCTGACTGGCTTATTCTGCTTAGGACCATCAATGCTATTGCAATTGATAGTTCCTTCTTTTTAATTTTTTAAAACATTTTATTGATTTTTTTATAGAGAGGAAGGGAAAGGAATAAAGTTAAAAACATCAATGGGAGAGAAACATCAATCAGCTGCCTCCTGCACACCTCCCACTGTGTATGTGCCTGCAACCAAGGTACATGCCCTTGACAGAAATCAAACCTGAGACCTTTGTATCCACTAAGCCAAACCAGTTAGGGCACTTCCTTCCTGTGTAGATGTACAACAGGTTTTTTTTTTTGTCTTTATTGTTCAGGTTATTACAGTTGTTCCTCTTTTTCTCCCCATAGCTCCCCTCCACCAGTTCCCCCCCCACCCCCCACCATGGTCTAACCCCCCCCCCATTGTCCTCGTCCATACATGTTCAATTTTTAAAAAAATACATTTTATTTATTTTTTACAGAGAGGAAGAGAGAGGGACAGAGAGCTAGAAACATCGATGAGAGAGAAACATCGACCAGCTGCCTCCTGCACACCCCCTACCGGGGACGTGCCCACAACCAATGAGCATGCCCTTGATTGGAATCAAACCTGGGACCTTTCAGTCCGCAGGCTGGTGCTCTATCCATTGAGCAAACCGGTTTCGGCTACATGTTCAATTTTTGCCCAGTTTCTCCCTGTACCCCTTACTCCTCCTTCCCCCTGAGAATTGTCAGTCCACTCCCTTTCTATGCCCCTGATTCTATTATATTCACCAGTTTATTCTGTTTATCATATTTTTTTCACTGAAGTTTTAGATTCACTTGTTTATAGATATGTATTTGTTGGCACTTCTTTCATTTGTTGTTCATAAGTTTTATCTTTACCTTTTTCTTCTTCCCTTCTTAAAGAATACTCCAGCATTTCATATAATACTGGTTTGGCAGTGATGAACTCCTTTAGTTGTTCTTATCTGTGAAGCTCTTTATCTAACCTTCAATTCTAAATGATAGCTTTGCTGGGTAGAATAATCTTGGTTTTAAGTTCTTGCTATTCATCATTTTGAATATTTCTTGGCACTCCCTTCTGGCATGCATAGCTTCTATTGAGAAATCAGCTGACAATCCTATGGGTACTCCCTTGTAGGTAACTGTTTTTCTCTTGCTGCTTTTAATATTCTCTCTGTCTTTTACTCTTGGCATTCCCAGGTGGGGGAAGTTTTCTGTCATTATTTCTTCAAACAGGTTTTCAGTATCTTGTTTTCTCTCTTCTTTTGGTACCCCTATAATTCAGATGTTGGTACACTTGAAGTTGTCCCAGAGGCTCCTTACACTATCTTCATATTTTTGTATTTATTTTTCTTTTTGGTTTTCAAGTTGGGTGTTTTTTGCTTCTTTATATTTCAAATCTTTGACTTGATTCTTGTGGTCCTCTAGTCTGCTGTTGGATCTCTGAATATTATCCTTTATTTCAATCAGTGTATGCTTAAATTCTAATTTGTCCTTTTTCATATCCTTGAGGATCTCACTAAGTCTCAGTAACCTTATAACTGTGGTTTTGAAATCTATATCGTCGTTTGTTTTCCTCCATTTCTTTCATTTGTAACCTGTTTCTTTGTCTCTGCATTTTCAGAGTGGTAAGTCAACCCCTGCCTGAGGCCACCCAGCAGGAGCTACAGAGAGATCTGCAGGTTCCTCCTCTATGTTTGAGGTTTGGAGGTGCCCAGATGAGGTATAGCAGTGAAGCAATGAAGGCTGCTGATGGACCTTAGGCAGACTTTGAGAAGCTCTGTGGTTCTTTGACCCAGCAGCAGTTTGTGAGGTTAGGTTGCAAAAGGCCAGGCCATTCATATGCAAACACTTCTATGCTCAGCTTGGGTGTGTACACTGAGTGAGGCATGGTCTCTGGGAATCAGAGGGCAGAGCAAATAGCAATGGCTTCCAGTCTGCCCTGCCCCATTGAGTCCCTCCGGTCTCTGTGTCCCTGGGCCCCATTCAAGAACAATAAACACTCCAATCACCTCTGAGAGAAAGCCACCTTCATGTTCCGGCCTGATGCCAGACAGTCCAGTTTCTCCCCAAATGAGTCTGGGACCTCAGAGTCTCACCTAGTACTGGAATTCAGAGCAGTCAGAAGCTTCTATCTCCCTCCGCATTGAAAAAGACCACATCATACTCAGTTTCCAGCCCATTTCTGTGCACACCTCCATACCTCCTCTCTTTTGCACTTACGCATCTCCTACGAGTCTAGATGTGCTTTTCTCTTCCTGTTGTAGAACTTCCTCTCAGCCAGCCTTCTGTGGTTGTGGATATTTTGTTTTTTCTTTTACTTGTAGTTTTGATGTGGTTGTGCAAGACAGTAAGTTCAGGTGTTTACCTATGCCACCATCTTGGTTCCCCTTTTACTATAATTTTTAATCCACTCAGCTGTTGATGGGGATTTAGGCCGTTTCCAAATCTTAGCTATGATAAATTGTGCTGCTATGAACATAGGGGTGCATATATCCTTGCTAATTGGTGTTTCTAGTTTCTTGGGATATATTCCTAGAAGTGGGATCACTGGGTCAAATGGGAGTTCCATTTTTAACTCTTTGAGGAAATTCCATACTGTCTCTCAGTGGCTACACCGGTCTGCATTCCCACCAGCAGTGCATGAGGGTTCCTTTTTCTCTACATCTTCTCCAGCACTTGTCGTTTGTTGACAACAGCCATTCTGTCAGATGTGAGATGGTACCTCAATGTCATTTTGATTTGCATCTCTCAGGTGATTAGTGACTTTCGATCATACATGTTTTCCTATGTTTCTTGGCTTTCCTTATGTCCTCCTTTGGAAAGTATCTACTTATGTACGTTGTCCATTTTTTGATCTGGTTGTTTATCTTTCATTTTTTAAGATGTATGAGTTCCCTGTAAATGTTGAAGATTAAGCCCTTATCTGAGATAACACTGACAAATATGTTCTCCCATGCAGTGGGTTTTCTTGTTGTTTTGATGATGGTTTCTCTTGCTGTGCAAAAGCTTTTTATTTTGATGTAGTCCCATTTGTTTATTTTCTCTTTAGTTTCCATTGCTCTAGCTGTATTTGTGAAGAAACTGCTTCGGCATATGTCTGAGACTTTGCTGCCTGTTGATTCCTGTAATATTTTTATGGTTTTCGATCATACATTTAAGTCCTTTATTCATTTTGAAGGGTTTTTTTTTTGTGTGTATGGTGTAAGTTGGTGGTCTAGTTTCAATTTTTTGCATGTATCTGTCCAATTTTCCCAACACCATTTATTGAAGAGATTGTCTTGACTCCATTGTATGTTCATGCCTCCTTTGTTAAATATTAATTGAGCATAGTGGTTTGGGTTAATTTCTGGATTCTCTATTCTATTCCATTGATCTGTATGACTGTTCTTGTGCCAGTACAAGGCAGTTTTGAGAAGGGTGGCTTTGTAATCCAACTTGCTATGTGATATTGAGACCTCTTCTACTTTGTTCTTTCTCAAGATTTCTGCAGCTATTTGGGGTAGGCCATGTTTTCTTATCCACTCACCCACTCGATATCTTTTGATTGGATCAGTTAGTCCATTTACGTTTAAAGTTATTATTGACAGGTATTTGTTTGTAGCCATTTTTATTTCTTTGTGTCGGTTTTCCTTCTTCCCTTTTTATTTCTTTTTTTTTTATACCGGTCCCTTTAGCATTTCTTGAATTGCTGGCTTGGTGGAGATAAATTCCCTTAGCCTTTTTTTTTTTTTTTTTTTTTTTTATCTGTGAAGCTTCTTATTTGGGCCTCTCTGTGCTTATATAATTTTGTTCTTCCCCAAATCAGGACAGTTTTTTGACATTATTTCTTCAAATGGGTTTTCCAACCCTTGTT